ATCTATATTAAATACAAAAATTAAAATTAAAAAAAAAAAAAAATCTTATTATGTGATTATCATTCCAACTATTATGCCTAAAATCTAGCTAAGCAGTCAAAAGAATTGATTCCACTTTTTTTGCAGAGGTTCTTTTAATTTTGCCAAAATTCAGTCTTAACATTTCACATAATGAATTCTCCTAGACATCATAGAGCATTTGAGCACTCGACTTCTCTTCATAGAGTGTCTAGGGTTCGTTAATTGTTGGCTAAATGTTTTCACTCGCTTTGGCCTGAAAATCAGTCACGCACTCAACAAATTGCCGGCTTGCTGGTGGCTGGGTGGTTGAGTGGTTGAGTGGTTGGGTGGCTCGCTCTCAATGCCACTGTGGTTGCGTTACCGTATGCTTTGTATTTTATTATTATATTTCTATTTACATATAGATTTTCGTGTTTTGAAAGTCGCGCCTTATGACCAACCTCAACGCAGCTCGCTCAATATGCACGACGAGATTTCTATTTACTGTTTATTTGTTTGTATTTTCATTTTTGTTTTGTTTTTGTTTTTCAAATCTTTTTCGCTGTTGCTTTGTTTCTAGTTTATTTTTGCATTTAACTTTTATTAACGCGCTCTGGGCGGTGGGTGTGTGGTTAATGCATTTTATGGCACTTTTTTCACGCTACCTGTCAATTGCGCAGTTCGAAAATTAATCACATATTTATATTTAACACGCATTGCCCCAATGCACTGACATAGTTTAAATTTAACAACAGCCACGAACTTGCATACAAATTGCTAATTTCAGAGAAAGGAGCCAAGCAAAGAGAAAGAGAGATCAGATCTGCCCGATTGCAGTATGGGTACGTGAAGGAGTTGCCTATGGAAGTAATCAAAGCACATGGAGTTGCAGTAAAAATATGAGCTATAACACAATTGAATATGAATTGAGTAGATGCTGAAATGCATAGAGTATAAATCAGTTTATATAAGTGAATACTATGCATATAGTTTCCTGTCCAATTTGTTTTGCAGTCCATTTCTCTCTAATTAAAAGTAAATAATATAATGCCAGCTGTCTATTAATCAGAAAGGAATGCTTTTGTTGCAAATTTGAATAAATGACATGATAAGGCCTAATATACTCAATATAATAAATCAAAGTTCAATTTGGATTCACAATATTTCAATATTCCTCATATCACATGAAACTTTGTTGATTTAATAAAAAATTTTAGTACATAGTCGACAGAACAGAGTATAAATAATATTAAATGTAGTTTCAAATAGTAATAATTTAGTACAGCTAATATTATAAAGCATTAAAAATGCATTAAATTGGCAAGTCAGTTATTATCGAACAAATTTAAATGATTTACGATATTATCTAAATATATATTCAAATAAATTAAAATGATTTACGAACATTATCTAAACAGTCTATTCACTAGAAGAGAACGTGTATGTTGAAAATTGAATTTAATTACAATATGAGACTACATATTTACATTTCTCTAAAAAAACTGTTTTTTGTAACTATCTTGAAAAAGCATGCGTCAAGTGCAAAAAAAAAAAAAAAAAAAAAAAAAAAAAAAAATTATTTTGACAAATAGAGAATCTTCAAGCTCGTCATTAGCTTTAAAATTAGTATATCTTCTTAATAATTACAAAGACTCAGGGATTCGCACTGTATAAAAAAAGACTTTTTAGAATAAATATCAAGTATACTAAAAGAAACCTCAATATATTTCAAAATATTTTCATTTTTCACACATCACATAAAATTTTAATAATATTTATTAAGCTTCTGTCACTTTATATATATATTTACATAATTAAATATTTTTCAATTTTTGAGCAGAAATCTTTTCGGTCCCTTGCTTGCATGCTTGTCAATCATTCAGCTCACTCAGCAAATGTCTAAAATCTGCACTTTTTACTAGAATGGACAATAAAATTCCAAATAAATAAATAAATATCTATACAAGCGGAACTTTTACATAGTTATTTTACTAATTATTTAGCAAGAATTTTTGACATTACAGTCATAAAATTTTGTAATTTATTTAGCCTAAGCACTTTAGACCATCTCAACAATGACAATTTCTCGTAAGCCCAGTAATAAAAGCATTTACTGCCAAGTCAAATTGAGTTCGAGAATGAATTTCACAAAGTGAATAACAAATATACACATGCACATCGCAGCCCGTTAAGTTTGTCTATAAAATGTTACTTAACTGGTTTCTCAATAATGCATATACCATATCTGATGATATTAATATATGTATATGATAATTATATTAGCTTAGCGGCTTCAGCAAAAATCTGCACTGTCATTGTTTTCAGTGAGGCAACTTTTGAGGATTATTGCATTGAAATTCAATGCATTTTCAGTATAGGCAATTACTATCTATATGCCTTATAGATAGATCTATTATCACAGATAGCCATATCTGATATTCCCTTCACAATACAAGCTTCCTAATATTATTTCTCTTATTTATATTCGAGTCCAGTCAAATGAGCGATAGCAAAGCACTGCGAATTCGTAATACAACAGACATACATATAGACCAATATCAGTGCGCACAGCTGTTATCAAGCAGCTGATAAGGCGCAAGTCTACGAAGACTTGTGCAAAAACTCAAAGGTCGAAGAGAATTCGAACAATTAACTAGATACAACATTCATATACAATGCGATTTGCCGGCATTAGATTAGCGTGGCATTTGAACTGAATAATCGTGATATAATGGAAAACTGCCAACTCACGCTTATTTAGCTGTTTCTATTCCCACCTGAAAGCGCATTGAACTGTGTACCCGACGGACCCCATCTGTCTGTTGTCATATTTCTAATTAGACTTGAAGCAATATACATATATTTTCACTTTTATTGCCGTTGAGCTTATTAGCTCGACTGGCGCCTTTCCTTTGCTAAATTAACAATTAGCTGGGTTCCACACAGTTGTCCCAGAGCTAATGGATCGTCCACACGAAATGTACAACTGTAGGTACGTAGTGCCAGACCTCTTTAAAATATCTTGAACTCTTGAACTATATATTTAATTTTGAGAGTCAAGACTTTTTTATGCCTCACTAAACTCCACGTTTAGCCCAAAGTGCTCGAAAATATACTTATGTATGTATGTATATGTATGTACATATGTACATAAAAGAAAGGCTAAAAAAGTTATCTTTAGACTTTCAAGTCAACTGCTGCTAAATAAGCTAAACAAGCTCAACAACTTTTCTATAAAATTTCTTATCTGGAATATTAGGTATACAACAGCTGATTTCTTGTGAATTATCGATGTTTTAATCAATCAGAGATAGATTTAATTAGTAATTTGTATTTGAAATATGTTACGACGCCATCGATCCATTGCATTTCAGCTTATGCAATAAAACATCCAAGTTTAACCAAATGATATTTTAAAGCTGTTGTAATAGCTGGTCATTATAGCCCAAAGACAAAAAAATGAAACACGCGAAAAACAACAACAAACAAATTAAAATGTGAGAAAAAACGTGCAAAAAATATCAAAAACAAAAACAAAAACAAACTAATGAATCAGAAATGAAAAAAAAAAAAAAAACAAACAAAAGGCATCGATAAATTTATGCGAAAGGCAACTGCAGAACTTGCGCAACAATTTCACCAACGCAACACCAACACCAGCACACAACACAAACACACACGCACGCACACAAACACAACACATACATGTGTATATGTAAGAGCAAGCGAGAGCAACTTTTAAAGCCACTAACGATCAAACAAGAAATCTGCTTTTGTTGCTGCAACATTCTCTGACATGTTTTTGCTTTTGTTTACAGTTAGAAGAAGAAACTTACTTAAAGGTGAGTCTTAGCATATCCATAAATCGCACAGCCATTGCAGCGAACTAGTCCACAACTGAACTGAGTAAAACAAACAGCCAAGTTTCACGGCCCTATGCTTAATTTCAGGCGCGGCTCTGTAAGTGGGACGGGCAGCGAAAGTAAATATAAAAGACTAATTGATCAGATATCACGCACGCAAAACACTTCCACTACACACACGAACCGCTCTGCCCGAGAGTGCGACAGCAACTGAAGGAAGTGGTGCGATCGTCGTCTCTTTTTGTTGAGAGGCAGAACTTACTCCAAGCTAGTAGTTCGGCATTAATGAAAGCGGCTCTCAACAACCAGACACCTCATAACAAACTCAAACGCACGCTGGCTCTCTCTCTCTCTCTCTCTCTCTCGCTCACACACTCTATGGCACGCGTTCAACAGGTTTTTGCTCAGAGCGAAACGGTGGCGGCCAGGGGCACTGTTATTTTTGCCTGCACTGTAGAATTGTTTGGCTGCGAGCTTTTATTTTGAATTTCGATGAGCAACGAAAGCAAAGCACACTTTGAATTGAGCTTTAAGCACAGCAACGCAGCAGATCGCAGTTTCTAAGCTTCGTATTAGCATTGTGAGCTTTGCGTTAAGAGAGCTTTGCAACTAATAATATAAAAAGCGGTAATATTCGAATTCTGTATAAAATATTAAATTTAAATTTGTTTGATTTACATATATGTACATATATATATTGCAAATCTTATAGTCTCTTTGAATTGACATTCAACTTAAAATCAATATTAAATATCAATTCCAGTAGCCAAACCAAACACATTAAAAAACCTCGCACAAAAGATATAAAAAAGCACCTTGAACGTAACGAATTCCCCGCGCTTATTAAAGCTGAGCTAAAGTACTTTCATAACGCCGAGTGCAAAGACCCCAGAAATTAACTGATATACGTATAGTCAAGTTCGCAGTAATTTGATTACAGTTAGAAGTTGGTTTTGAACTTGAATTCGCACAAATTGCAATCGTATTTAGTCAGGCTAATTAAACCGGATTTCAATGCGGTCGAATGAAACGTAAGAGACCTGAATAAATGCAAATCAGAGACGCCTCTCATCCAGCCTGTTGCTCCAATTAGCATTATTTGACACATTTACATACATATATATATTTTTACACACATCATTTTATTAGCCAACCTACGATTGTAGCTTTCCGCATAGTATTATGATTCGTAGTCTCTGTTGATGGCCGAAAGTTAGATTTTAGTATTGTGAATCGTCTGGCGTCGTGTGTTTGAGTTCGCTTTCAGTTATGACTTCATTTTCGTCTTGGTTCACGGCCAAATGAATGCAAATAGCCAAGATACTGTGTAAATTATAGACATTGTATTGAACTATAATTTGTATAATTGATAATCACATGTATGTGATCTACACAACCTGAGCAGAAGTAAAGCTCGCAACTCGGAATACATCTTAACTTCCCGCTTTCAGATTCACTACTAACTGAATATTTGAAATTGTAAAGGTTAAGCTCACTTATATACAAGTCGAACTATTTATCTTATGCATTAGCAATAACCTAGCAATTCCAGTAATTTAAAGGTACATATATGCACCATGACTAATGTAGGGGAAACTGTTTAGCTAAGAGTTGTCAATTAACTGAAAACTAAGTTGAGATATATTTTTGATATAGCTTCCATATTAGAAAGTACTTAAATAGCAAGAAAGAAATTTTCCTTATACAGTTTCATATTTCTATATATTTTCATTTTGTGGTTTACGGGATCAATGATATCTTGACAAAATGTTAGGAAGTACTCCCTGGCCATTTAAAATTAAGAGGATAACACTGAATTATATTTTTTTATATATATATATACATATATCTATAAATATATATAGACATATAAAGAAATATACTCAATATGAGTAATATCCAATTTAATATAAACCCACTCTAACAAGCCCTTCAGCATAATCCATGCCAATTCTATATTGTAAATTTGTTTAGCTTTAATAATTCGATAAATTCAGACTGTAATTGTCTGTATAGCCTCGACTAAGTAATCTAATGGAATATAATTATTATTTTATTTGCACTATATAACAGTGAGTAATTGCGCTTTATATGAGGTACCCAATTAACGACCCACCATGTGCACTTGAATTAGTCACGCGACGCCAAGAGTTGAGGCTTTGATTGGGTTTATCTCTAAAGTTCCATGTGGCCTACAACTGATACGCGTTTTGTTTGAGCAAATAAAGTGCGAAAGAGTGGGATTGAGAGAGAGAGGGAGAGAGACGGAGAAGTGGGGAGAGAGCATGCGCAGACGAGTTTATGATTCAGATTCCGCCGAGCGATAAGTAGCAGCACCCCACAACCGAAAGAGTAGAGTGGAGCTCTATGACGTCAACGCGCCCACAGATTGCCGCGTCTTGAGTTGAGTTTGATAATTATCTTACTTACATGCGTACATAATCGTAGTTGGTGTGAATGCCTCTGTTTTGAGTGGGCAAACTTCTCAACTTCCTCAAAGCAATTAGGATTTTTATCATTACTACGTTTTGATAGCTCTCGCAATGAATTACTTCGATGTTTAAAATATTTTAAAATGTTTTGCTTTATTTGAAATACATTGTTTCCTTTTGTTAGACTTTCTTATTAAAATATGGATTTGAAATTTCTTATTTTTTGTTTTTGTTTATGTTTTTTTTTTTTCAATTTTTCTGTGGCATCACATTTTTTTGAAGCTTTTAGGAATTAAATTACTTAATCTTTCTTTATAGAGCTAGTCTTAGTTGTGGCTCAATGTGGTTTCTATAAAAACGAATTCGAAACATTTAAGATTAGCGTTTCGTTTGTGCATTCTTAATAACATTTTTTAGAGGTGTTTTTAGTCAACAGACACATAATTCAATTCAAATTCATTTTGTTTCATGTAAATATACACATGTAAATACATATATGTATATATAATAGAATCATATTCCTAAATATGTAAAACCTGGACTGGTTGGTACGCTTATACAAAAAAAACACAATATGAACAAATACGTATCCAAAAATTAAATGTTCTTTGTAAAATTGTCACAAATTCAAAGAGCTAAGCGAATAGACTAATATATAATATATTACTGGATGGGTTAGTGTACTTTGTGCACGGAAGAGAGCCGAACGCCGGATAATACAAGAAAAGCCATAGCGTTTTGGGCGTCTTGGCAGCCTTTTACATGCACATATTTATGTGGATAAATATATGATATAACTAGGAACAAAAGGAACATTAGTTCATGCACATATCGACTATTCCTTGACTGTACGAATCCATCAAAAAGGTACTTCAGTTGCGACTTCTATCATTCCTTAGAACAAATCTCAATTGGTAACATATACATATACATATATATAGATAGATAGATAAATAGAATCTGAATCTAGTGATCAGTGATCTATAGACATCTGAGAGTTTCGGATCAAACTTGAACAAGCTTAAATAGAATCTCGATTTGTGGACAAACTTAACAACACGCACATACACATAGAAATATATTAATATATATAGATAGGTTCTATCTAGGCTTTAAAGCTACGCTTTGCATTGTTTTCAACATAAAGCTAATGCTAATGCTAACGCTAGGCGGAGACCTTGGGTAATAAGGCCTCCGTATTCACAGCAGCTCGTCGCGCCGGAAGAAACTCTCCCAGACCATTAACTTGCGCAGATCCGGCACATCGATGATCTTCAGATCATCGGATATATTAAGGCACTTCAGCTGATGCTTGTCGAGTGCACTGGGCGACACGGGCTGCCAGAGGTCCGGCTGCTCGGGATCGTAGTTGGGATTGCCGTAGGTGGCAAAGTGCGTCCACAGGCCCACCAAGCGCTCGATGCACTTGTACTCCCTCGTGTGGTTCTTCAGCTTGCGCGCCAGCGAGTTGTAGAACAGATACGACAGATCGTCGCCGTGGCAGGTGCCACGCACCTTCTTGCCGCAGCTGAGTATGCGCAGATGATTAAAGTGCTTCGAGTCGAAGTCGAAGCGGTACAGATAGGTGGGTGCGCTCGACGCGTGCTCCAAGCGCGACAATACTGTCCGATAGATGGGGAACCAGAAATACTCGTGCGAGACCATCTACAAGTCAGACAAACAACACATAACAAAAAACAGATTAGTTAACCAAGTTAGCAGCCAACAGAACGTAGTAGACTTTTATCACTAAATATGCTAAGCTGACAGCATATGCCTAGCTGAGTAAACCATGTGAACTGGCTTCATGGAATAATTATGCAAAGAACTTGTTGTAAGCTTACTTCATCGTTAGTCGAATTCTACGACTAAATAAGAGAGTTGCTCGTGTGAGAAATATAATATAAGCAAAACTTCATTGGCTTCTTAAATCATCTGAATTTCCCTGGGGATTACTTAACCCCGCCACTGTATCACCCAACGTTTTATCCATTATCTAATCCCTCAATTTAAGACAGTATCGCTATTCCTGATTCCTCTGTTGCATCTCATTACCACTTTACTCCAGTCATCATTCATTTATCTCTCACTATGTCTACAATTATTAAATATATAACTCTTCACTGATTTTCAAAATATATCTTCTATTGTGGCGAATTCTTCTACAATTTATAATTCCAAAATTGTTTGTTAAAACCTGCTAATTAAACTATTTGCATATTTTAAAAATATATTATAATAAATAAAACAAAAAAGTTCTTTGCTTGAAATCATTTCGCTCTAAGCTACCCCAATAAAATAATTATAATCTCTGTAAAGTATTTTCATTTAAAAAATATCTATACTTTTCTTTATATTGATTCGTATCAGTCTTATACAAATATATTTTTCGAGTTTTCATATTCTCTTTCTGTAGTTTCTATCTGGCTTAGACCGAATTCTGAATTGCTTGAAAAATAATCAAAAGAAAAATCCCCACCTCTAACTTCAACAAGACATTCCCCAATATTCGGAAACAATATCGCTTAAGCGCCATACTCTATGAATGGACTCATTTGAGGTACTCGAAAGATTATTATGCAGTACTTTCCTCAACAGCACACACACACACACACACATATACACACATACACACCTGCAGATACTCGTGGAGCGTGTCTAGACTGGGCGTCTTATCGCCATAGTAGCACTGGCGCAGCTGCTCGCCGTACTCCTTGCACAGTTCACTGTCCCGGTCCATGTTCAGCTCGATGGGCACTACGTAGCGACAGTCGCCGAGCTCGTTGAGACACTTGGGATTCGTCTTGGTCTCGGAGTAGAGCAGCAGACCCTCGTTCGAGACGCCGCCGAGGATCAGGGGTATGCTATTGCTCCAGGCAGTACGCATCATAATGATGGGCTTGGTGGTCACGACGCTGTGGCTGGTCACGTAGGGCTCGATGACGGGGCCGAAGGAGAAGCCGATGCGCTCCTTCTTCTCCTCGTCTATGCACAGCTCGCCATTGGCCTTGATTATGTCCGAGCCCTTGGCATTCTTCAGAAACTCCCAGACCTCGCGCTCCGTATTCTCGCCCGTGTAGCCCGCCTGCACGGCCAGCCGGTAGGGCCAGTTGCGCTGCGGCGTCACGGCCCAGGGCGAGAGCGTGTTTCCCGACATGCAGATGGCCTTGTGGAAAAGTCCGCGCGTCTGCTCCGTGATCATCATGTAGTGCACTGAAGCACTACCGGCGCTATCTCCAAAGATTGTTATGTTATTCGAATCGCCGCCGAAGCGCGAGCAGTTGGCCTTGACCCAGCGCAGGGCCAAGACCTGATCCTTCAGGCCCGCATTGCCGGGCACATCGAATTCGGGATCTTGCAGGCACAAGAAGCCTAACGAAATGGAAATCATGTGTTTCATTGTAGAAATTACCAGTTGGTCATGCATTTCAACACCTACCCAGTGGTCCCAGGCGATAGTTGATGGATATTACGACGACATCCTCCCGCAACAAATAGTCCGGGCTGTAGCATTCGCGCGAGGCCTCGCCAAACTGGAAGCCGCCGCCATAGATCCAGACCATCACAGGCATGGGCTTGATGGGATATAACTGTCGAAGCAAATGTATATTATTTACTGCGAACGATCTTCTCCTCTTCTTCTTCTCACTCACATTCTTCGTGTACACATTGAGGTAGAGGCAGTCCTCGGAGCCGTCCGTCATCTCGAATACAAAATGCTTCTGCAGCGGCTTTGGACCCTGCGATGTGCAGCTCTTGACCTCGGTCCATATATCTGGCGGCTGCGGCGCCTTGTACCGCAGCTCCCCGAGGGGCGGCTTGGCGAAGGGTATACGCTCGAAGCTGAAATACGATTGGCCATAGATCGACTTCCGCTTGACTCCCTTAATGGGACCGTATGTGGTGCTGACAACGGTCTTCTCGCTGGTGCGGTAGCGACGCTGCTGCACCTTGAAGTCGACCATTCTGCAAGGACAAGAAGAACAGTGAAAGGATATTCTTTTAGCAGCATTTAAAGCATAAATGCGTCTTTTGCTTATATAAGGTATGCCCACTAAGGGATAAACGTGTACTGATTTTTATTAGCAGGGTATGCTTGAAGTGAGTCATAGCTCATTCACTCTACAGGGTATACTTGAAGTCATGCATAAGCTAATTCACTCTACAGGGTGAAGTCAGTTCAGTTAAGCTAACATTTAACATTGAATTTAGCTTAATGCCTAAAAATTGCGAAGCCACTTGCTGCTTTTCACCTTTATTAACTTCTAAATTTAAAAAAATTAATAGTATCATTATATTCTAAACGAATAAATAAATATTTAATATGTATATATAAATAATCAAAATATTATTTAATAAATAAAGAAAATTAATATATAATTATAGTATTGAAATACATATATACAAATGAATATTTATTAATAAATATGCAAATATGCTAATATTATTAATTTATATCTAAAGAAGACCTATCAATAATAAAAACATAGATATCAGAAAAATGTTTAGGTAATTCAAACATAGGTACTCTATGGAATCCTGCAATAAACTAAACTTTAAGCTATAAATGTATATAAAAATAGATTAATAATAAATAATGATAAAGCCATTTCCTTATCAGGGCGTCGCGTCGTGTCGTGCCAGGTGTTTGGCCATTTATAAGGTCTCTAGCCAAAAAAGCTCAGACGGCTCGACGGCCTCTAGAGTCAAAACAAAATATATTCTTTTCATTTTCGCGAGATTTCTAAGTACGCAAAAAATATGTTTTAAATGATTTGAAAAAAAAAAATAAGAATTATATAAAAGTTATAATAAATATAAATATTAATATAAATATTGAACTTTTAAATGGTATCATAATATCCTTTGTTAAATTATTGAAATCAAAATATAAGATATACATATATCTGTATATTTAATTTAATTAATTTATTTTTTCAATTCTATCGACTTTGCGGTACCCTTAAAAGAAAAAACTCTATCACGAAATTGCGAATCACGAAATAATTGTGATTCAAAAGAAATGTAGTTGAAAATATTTGCGGCCTCAGAAATATGTCATTAGGCAACTATACTAGGTATAATAAAATGTCGTCTGCTCTTTCAAGAACCATAGAGATTAATAATAGAGCTCAAGGTCGGCGCATAATCTGCCATATTAGAAATATTTCAGCAAACATTTCTAAAACTTTTATAAGCACCAATTGAATATTGTATATTTCGATTTATGTATAGGTATATGTAGATTTCCTGTACATATATGCAAGCATATGTAGATGTATCGTTTTCAATTGAATTTTAGACTTGTATAAAATATATTATTTACGTTATCAGCTGCGGTCAACTATGTTAAGTGAGCTCATTTAGAGAAACGTGATTCGATTTGTGGGCGAATTTTAAGTATTCGGCGCTATAGAGCAACAAAAGTTTACGCATAATAATTGTTGCTTCCTCGTGACTTTGTGTTTCGCGAATGACAGCAAAAGCTAGAAAATAAAATATTTGTCATATTTTGGTTTATTTTTAGACCCTTGAGCTGCTGTATTTTTCTTTTTGCTGCGTCTAGCATATAAGGCAATGTTTTCTATTGTTATATGATTTTTCTTCTTCTTCTTCTTTTTTTGTATATCGCAGCTTTGGCCCTGAACTTTGCCATAGCAGTCAGTATCTGGACATAATAAAAAAAGAGATCAATAAAAAAAAGCTCATGGGAAAAAAGGTAAAAAACTAAATTTCTAATGCTGACATTGCGTGTGGCAAATAAATTTGCCTCAAGCGCTAGAAACACACCTAAAGTTGCCATTTGGTTTTTTTCTATTTCACTAATTGTTACGAGCAGCTAAAGAACTGAAAACAATCTACAGCTAATTAAGGGCAGCATGCCCTGGCCGGGAGAAAATGAAATCAATTTGATTCTTTGCCTCTGAATTATGTCCAAAAATAAATGATCGAAATGAGTGAAAAAATAAACAGAATCTTGCCAACTGATGCTGACGACAGCAGAACGAAAACAAAAATTAAATACAGAAAAGAGAACGAACTGGCAAATCAAAGACAAATAAACTGTGGACCAGGCCAGGCAGCAAAACAGCTTGAATATTTCTGTTTCAGATTTCAGCAATTCAGACATTCCTGCCCATCTGACACACACACATATATATCTATTACATACGTCCGATATGCACTCAAGTGCATTTGCATCCCACAATTGGACGAATCTCCAGTTTCAACTGCTTTTCATCAGGCTAAAACTAGTTTTCTGCATTTTGTTTTGAGCTTGTCAACTTATTTGGCACAAGCATATTATAAATTAGGCTCGTTTCTTAGTCAGATCGATTTGCATACAAGCAGAAGGTTGCCAAGTCCAAAATTGGCAAAAAAAAAAAAAGTATATATATATATATTTATGCTGAAACGAACCTTAAACCAAACAAGTTGTCCAAATACAACAGAACTGTGAAACCTGAATCACATCTATATGCTCCTCAAACTGACAAACATACATCATAATGTTCAGCTAAATTTTGGACAGAGTACAGCTGTGATGAAGAAAATATAATTTTTTATATATAGATTATACATAAATATCTATTATAAATATATAAGCAAGTCTTATTGAAATTTATGTAAACTAATTTTATAGAATATATGGCGGGGCGTTACGTTTCTCATTACTGCCTTCCATTATAGTTGGGCCTATAAATGAGTTCCCAGTATCGCTTAACTCTTTTATAAAGCTCCTTCTTGCTCGATTGCCTACGACCAAGTCTGATTTCTCTTCTCCTCTCTAAACTCTAGTTCTGGTCGCATATTCTTGTTCATCGAAAGCGACCCTGTGCGAAGGACATTACTAGCTGTCTCGCTCTCACTCAGCAATAGCTATAGTTGTCTCTCTCCATGTCACAATACCTCCTTTAATTGCCACTACAATACTAAATAGATCGATTAACACGAATTATGCGTAATATCGCACTGACATATATATCATAAACTCTTTTTCATTCAAAACTAGAGTCCGTTTGTTTCTCTTCTCGAAATAAAATACTTTAATCTGTACAAAAGCACAATTCTGGGTAAATTTGTAAATCGAATTGCACAGATTAGTGTTATAAACATATATATATTTCGTCGTAAGACTCTACGAAATGCTTTTGGCTCGCTTAGCGCATCTCGTTTCCGGGCGCTCGGCCAGGCTGCTCTGCAAGGCGCCCCTCAGTTGCTCCCAGGGACTGTGGAAGTCGGCGCAGCAGGCGCCGAAATGCAGGTTCAGTGGAATGCCGTTCCAGGCGCTCAAGCCGAAGAGGGGGCTGCTGCAGCCGCAGCTGAGACGCAACTACACGGAGGAGCACGGAGATCGTAATCGTTCTCACCTGGAGCACCGGAGCAAAGCGCCCACACTGAAGGAGCGAATGATGGGGCCGCCCACCGAGAACGCCTACTCCATGGGCAAGGGCGCGGCGGCGGGCGCCGCACTGATGGGCATCGTCGCGCTGTGCTACTACGGCCTGGGCCTGGCCAATCAGCCGAGCATCTACGACCATTCGTACATGTGGCCGCAGTACGTGAGGGATCGCATCCACGCCACCTACGCCTACTTTGGCGCCTCCTGCGCCGTGACGGCCGCCGCCGCAACGGCCGTCTTCCAGTCGGAGCCGCTGCTCAATCTAATCATGCGCAGCGGCTGGCTGGCCACCTTGGTCACCATGGGCCTGGTCATGGGCACCGGAGCCCTGACCCAGGCGCTGGACTACGAGCCGGGAATCGGCATGAAGCAATTGGCCTGGGCCCTGCACTGCGGCGTCATGGGCGCCGTCGTTGCGCCCATGTGCTTCATGGGCGGCCCCGTCTTGGTGCGCGCCCTGCTCTACACGTCCGGCATTGTGGGCGCCCTCTCCACGGTGGCCGCGTGCGCGCCCAGCGACCGATTCCTGCACATGGGCGGACCCCTGGCCATTGGCTTGGGCATCATCTTCGCCTCGTCGCTGGCCAACATGTGGCTGCCGCCAACGACAGCCATTGGCGCCGGCCTCGCCTCGATGTCCCTGTACGGCGGCTTGATTCTGTTCAGCGGATTTCTGCTCTACGACACTCAGCGCATTGTCAAGGCCGCTGAGAGCTATCCGGAGCATGGCTACGTCCGCTACGACCCGATCAACCACGCCCTGGCCATCTACATGGACGCCCTCAACATATTCATACGCATCGCCATCATCTTGGCCTCTGGAGACCAGCGCAAGAAGAAGTGAGCAAAGCGGCAGACAGTTGAAGAGAGACATTCCAAATTGCATTAGTACATATTTTCTGGTTGAGGTTTTTTACAAAATTGTGCATATTTCGATTTAATCAGTACAGGAACATTAACAGCAATGTCTGAGCGGTTTGATTTCAATATGCCTAATCGATGATTGCTTGCGAAGAGATATATTAGAATAATCAAAGATTTACAATTTCAGCTACAAGGCCCAAATAGAATTTTTATTCAGTAAAGCTTTTTATTATTGCCATCACCTTCAGACTTAAGTGTGATGTGAAGCCAGTCTCATTGAACCATAAACCTTATCAGATACCTTAAAAGCTATAGTATACCATTGACAAGAGACTCAAATAAATTTGAGAAATTTTCAGCTCATGTCAAGGAACTTTTGACCAGAACGAGTTCAACAATAGCCACCTTTAGCTTCCCGGACAAACGGGATCTTTGTAATCTATATAATAATTCATTATTTTGTAGTCTATGATTTTCACGTCTAGCAATGGAATATGAACCCTGGTGATAAGCAACTCATGTAACAGATTATGTCGCATTGATTGCATTCATATTCCATAGCCAGACGAGCCGACAGCGCCAGCTCCCCCAATAGCCCGCGCCACATAGTTATCAGGCATGTGTGCGAGCGAGCGAATCCAGCACGCAGTCTAGGCCGCATTACATATATACATTTTATTATAATGAAAAAAAAAAAACACGCACAGTCTGAAGCAGACATGATTTCCATGAAAAACAACAAAAAATTCCCCACGCAAACATTCTCATAATTCCCGTGGAAACAAAAAAGTTGGACAATGTTTGTTTAGCGCTTACATGTCCATTCGGCTGGTTATTAACGCGTTTTCGGTGACCTTGGCAGGACTGACACGCAACGATGCCAGGCGAGAGCTTTCATTGAGAGCTTTCCGCGCACAGCCGCTCATGAATGAATCGCCCGAAAAAGCTCTCAAGTGGCGCAAGGATAAAACACAAGGTAACCGTTACTTGCATTTTCAGCCCTGATGTCAGCCAGGTCAAGGAGTGTTTACAGCGCCAACTGCTTTCGGCATTTAGTATATGACTAACTGAAATTGTAATACTGCTCTATATACATAGTAAATGTATACAAAATTATACTATAGTATATGTACACAATAAATATTAAAAAATACATGTATTTCATTATATTTTAATATTGTGTACATACTATATTTCATAGCAATATTGATTACATCTGGTTTTTGTTTATTTTATTTTTTATTTTCATTTCTTTTTTTTCAGTTCATAATTAGTTTTTAATCCAACAAACGAAAAGTAATGTAATGTAAGAGCTGATAAAAATCGCATCTATATCAACATAATACACACAATACATTTCTTAGGTATATACGTCATATAATTTGTTTATACATACATATAATGCTTTGGAGCCATTAAGGGGCTTAAATGAAGGTAAAGTTCGTAAAGCATAAATTATAATAAATTCAATATATAAAAATGAAATATTTTCTTTTTAATTTTTGACCAAGTTGAATATTAATTTTTATGAATTTTTATTTTTGTTAGACAAATTTATATAATAAATTATTATCGTTGAATTTTTACGATTATAAAATATATATTTTCTTTTTATATATATTTTTGATTACAAAACCAACTAATTCAGACATTATAAATATGAATTCATTATTATTAAGAAACTACGAGATTAACATATAGAGTGTAAACAAAAACTTCAATTCAATAAGTCAACTAATTAACGTAAATAATTAATTATAATTTTTTGCAAAAAAAACATTAGAAAATCTTTCACAAAGTCTATATAAGCCCTAAGAAGTTAAATACATTTCTTTATTTTACAATTTAGTTCAATCATAACTTAATATAATAAACATCTCTATTTTCATTATATCTAGCACATTTATCCTGAAGTAATAGATAAATGACTATATATGTATATGCAAGAATATATATGTATACCAATTTATAGATCTATAGTTAAAATACACGTTTTGCCAGCTGATTTAAAACCTTGGAATTAATATCAAAGTCATGTATTGCTATCTCAGTATTTGCTTAGTCTGCGCGTGTGTAGAAAACATTGATAATAGTATTTTCAATCACATAGAACTTGGGCACTCAAATAGTCCGAAGATAGAACATAATTTACAGACTGATCTACAATTAATAAACCATTTCCTTAAAATACTCCAGAACGAACATAAAGATTTCATTCAATACATATAATTTAGTGTAAGATTTTGCATATATAATGATATATATAATGATAATGATAGATATATAAAAGAATACCGAAATGGCCGGGGTGTCAAGCCATAAAACTCATTTACGCATTAGCAAGCGAAAATATCAATGGATATACGAAGAACATACATATTTATATAAAATATCGTTGTTGTGCCTATGCTCTTTTATATTCTTCATTCAGGCGACTTTTTTTCTTTTTTTCCCCTTCTACAAAATATACAAAACGCTACAAAATTAAATAAAATTGACGGTGTATTTGTGTGTGTGTTGTTGTGTATGTGTGTGTGTAGCGTGGGCGAGCAGCTCGAGCGACAGCGACAAATGCACGTAAAGTGTTGCCGTGGAACGCAATACGCGGCGTATTAGCAATGTTCAGCAGCCCAAAAATGCGATGAGAAAAGAAAAATACAGAGATGGCAGCAATAACATATATAAATCTGTATATATATACTCAACATTTTTAGCCAACGCAAATATGGGGAAATTTGCGTATATTTAACGTTTAGAATGAATAAAATCACAACGAATCAAACAATAAACCAAACAAACGGCAAATATGTCGCTGCACAGTGGCACACATCAAATATTTTGTCATTGACGAAGGCCAACTTCTGAGTTATCTTATTGCCGAGCTGGCAAACATTTAATTTGATTTGATCAAATGCCAAACGTGCGCCCAGAGTCGTGTGAGAAATGCAATAAAACTGAAGGTTAATAAGTGTAAGTGATGATGGCTCCCATAGAGATATATATTCTATATATGTATACTCTATATACCATTCGCTTTATTCAATTGACAAACACTGTCGCATAGCGAAATTGAACGAATTAAATTATTGCCACAAGCTAAAAATATATCAAATTTGCGTTCAAATTGACAATTTGAAGTTTTACAGTTGCGTTTTTTCTGTGACGAGAATTGAATGCTTTATGAATATAAATGACTGAATGCTCTGCCCAGATGCAATGGCATAAATCACAGCAAAACAATAAATATGCAAATTCATTTCAAAGTGAAATAAAAGCCGCACAACAAAATGTTGCACTTAGCTAAAAAAAAAAAAAAAAACTGAACGAGCGAAAAGAATTAAAAGAGAATATTTAAAACAATATTTCACGATTTTTTGACGAATGCCTAAAATGAAAATAGCTTTTGTTTCTTTCATTTAATATTTATAAATATGACAAAGTGAAGATAATTAATAGCATAGCGTATGGGAATCCCAGAATCCCTGCCAGAACTCTTTGGGAATTCCAGGCCAAGCTTTTCCGTGTTTTTATGTAAACAGCTTAATGACCTCAATTAAAACTGGAAGTTTTAATTCAAGTTCTTTGATGATTAAAAACAAAATTAGTAATCCCAAAACAATTACAGTTATTTCTGCGCTGCACAGGGCGTACAGTGAGGCTTCACAATAAAGAGCTTGTAAGTCATCTATGCCATGTGAGTGAAGGAAAAGTGTTTCACTCAGATTCAAGTAATAGTTCTACATCTATTTCATCATAGTGGTCCCCCTCCATATACAGCGTGTTCTTCATTATCTTTTATTTAGAGAGCAATTTTTTATCAAATTAGGCAAACCTGTTGCTGATCTCATGGCACAATCTCTTTGCTCGTTCTCTCAAACATTTCGCTTTGACACAAATGACTCAGCTTGACGTTTTATACAATAGGCAAAATTTGCATAAATAGGTTGCTTTTGTAGTTGTTGTAAGATACCCTATAGAACACTTGAAGATGGTAGTTAGACTGTATAGAGGATGCTGACCTGAACTAATTATTTCTGAAACTCATACAGATTGCGTGAGCTGTATTCTTTCTATAAGAATTAATCGTTGTCTCTTAACATATTTCGCATATATTTTAGTATTATTGATAGCTCAATAATGATTTATGAATACCCGTGTATATAACTTATCTATATATAAATGTTTTCCTATCATCCTAAGATAATTCTTATCACTAAAAAAAGACACTCATTTTTAACAACGAAAAACAAATGAGAATCTTGCAGAATGGGTAACTGGTAAAGTACAGGGTATTTGTTAGTCAGTTGGGGCCATAAGCAGTTTTTTTTTTCCTTCTATGTTTTTCTCTAGCTGCGAGGCGCTTGTAGAGCAGTTCTCTACCTAATTATTTGCGTAGTTAAAGTGCCAGCAGCGGCAGACAATGGACGCCTCTAATGACAGCTGTGCGATGAGCGATAGTAGGCACTGTCATGCGCCGTGTTTACGTTAGCTCGTTATGTAGACAAATTACAGAGTTCCCGGGAATCAATAGAGTGCTTCGAGCTGTGCGAACAATATGGACACGGGTAGCACGGACATAAGCTGTCAGATAATTGGAGGTCCTGGCGTAAACATATTGTTGTTAACGGCTAACGCACAGCATAACTCATGGCTTTGTCCTGGCCAAAGGACATGGGCTGCACAAGCCGAACGCACAAATTGCAGCAATTTGCTTAAAAAATTCATTTATTTTGTTGTTGAAGCCCACTTGCCGACACACCCACGCGAAGCCGTCTTTGTTTACTATATAAATATTTTATCTTCAGGGATTTGCTCGACTTATATTTGCCCCGCTTATCTGAGCAAATGTGTGCGCATATACTCTATACACGGCTACCGATATGCCTTAATTAAGTTGATTTATTTAAACTATCGTTTAGCAGACGTGAATCAAGCAGAATCGTAAAATACATATGTACATATAAACAGGCCGCCTCTGTTTATTAACTGTCTGAAGGAACTCGGAGTCTATGAGACCCGGAGATTGTAAATTTTGTAGATATGTTAGAGGCTCTGATACTCTTTTCGGAATTTTCGAAGAAATCGATAAGATAGCTAGATCTGGCACATATACAGAATTAAACATGACGGAACAGACCACTATCAATTCCAATAAAACAGATCAATAAAACAATATTCTTAGATAAAGTAGTTCTAGGTAGATAGACAATAGCAGGTTTACCAATTAATATCGTTTATACATATTTCGCATTTTCTCTTCGATCTGCGTACAGTGTAAATTGTTAAGCTGAAATGTTATATGCTTTATTTAGGTATTGTTGCTTTTATATGACACAATTCTCTGATGTCATGCGACTGACTGTAAAAGGCGGCCATAATTAAATGGTTTAATGCACTAAAGTCTATTAATTACGTCAAGTACTAGATAATAGTTTAGTGCCAAAAACAGAAAACGGATCTGGTGATGATCTAAACAATTTGAATTGGTTAAGCCTTCAGGGGATTTATGCTGATTAACCGTAAAAATCAGCAACTTTACTCACGAATCTCTGTATGATTAACGAATGTTTCTTTATGGGTTTATAGGGGTTTTTATTGTGCTACTTACTTGAGTCCAATTTTGATTTGATCAAACGCAGCCATGGAAGACATTTTGTTGTGAGTTTTGTTGTACTTTTGCTTTTTGTCAAGTTCAATAAAAAAATATTTCTTTTATAAAAAATCAATTGGAAAGCTGGGCTAACTATTATTTATTTAACCATGAAGTGAATTTGTGCTTGCTTTGTTTTCGTTTCAGTCCTCTGCCAGCCGTTGACTTGACCTTGTTATGTGCCTGATGATAGCCACGAAATCATAACGGGCTGCTGCGGGCAGCAGCTACAGACGCTGATAAGCAGCTTTCGCTGGAGCACGTCCTGCGCAGTTGGGCACACACACGCACGCACGAGCACACGCACAGGATAATTGTACTGCGAAAAAAGCGCACAGACAGATTCCCACACATACACACACACAGAGACACTTATGCTTTTTGCTTATCACATAACTTTCGCTTTCAAAGACACACGCGAAAAACGTTTGTTGTTGTTACCAGGCGGCGCGAAATTAAATAAATTCTATTATAGTTTAGTTTATATTGAGTTGATGTTGTTGCTGGTGCTACTGCTGCTGCGTCTGCTGCTATTGTATTATTAGCAAGCTGTTGCTTTTATTCAAACAGTTACATAGTCTCACAGCTACGCTTCGTGCCACGTCCGTTTGACTTGAAGGCAGCTCATCAACTGTTTTCAAAGCACACGAACGAAAAGCTACGCGCGAAAGTTCTAAGCGCATGGCACATGCGAAAGCTCTACCATTGAGCATAAAGAGCGTGCGAAACTAGCTGCTCTGTCTTGCTTGCTCTTATTGTTGTTTCTGTTCTTCTTCTTGCACTCGTAGCTGCTGCGTTGCGCTTGCTCTTATTGCTGTTACTATTACGAGTTCATTTTCTTGCTCTTTCTTGTAGCTGCTATGCTGAGATTACTGTTCTTATTGTTGATGTTATTATGTGGCCTGCTTATTCTTCAGCCGCTGTGTCAGGCTGGCTCTTGTTGTTGTTGCTGTGTATACCAAGTAAGCTGCTTCTGGAGCTTCTAGCAGCTGTTTTGTGCGTGCTTCACCATATTCGACTTGTTCTTCTAACAGCTTCTGGTTTGATCTTCGTTTGGTTGTGTAAGTTTACTCATCCTGATCTTAGTGGATATTGTTGCTGTACGCAGATTAGTAAACCTCAAGAAGAGAGCAACGCGAGATTTAGCTGTCATTTCTGTAATCAGCGCAATCAACTTTTTCGCTGTCGACTCTATTGTACTTGTATCTCTCCTAATTCTCTTTATGACTGAGTTAGTGTTGAGTCTTACAGCGCCGTTTTGCATAGATCATTACGTACTGAATCATGGGTTAATAGTTGACTCACGGTTACGATGCGATTAAGCTTCAATCAGTGCGCCTTATTGTAGTCGCCTTATCAGAACATATTGATAAATGCTGATGAGTATTTTCGCACGACGGCAAGTGCCACACAAAATTGAGCTTGTACACTTTGATATCGCTTGTTTCAGTGACACGCCTTCAGAATGTTTCTGAAAAAAAAAACTATTCGGAGCAAAATATACATACTGTAGGTACACGCATACGGACATATGTACATATGTATGTATGCCCATGTATATAAATCATATAGATAAGTTTGGCCAGCTGTGCCTTAGTTATTTCGAGTAAAAATGAATCATGGCTGTCAAAGGGAATACCGCTCGGAAAAGCTCGCTGATATTTATTGCTGGTAAGAAGGCAAAGTTCATGTTTACAATAGATAATTATTGAAATATACATAACAGTACTAGAAATATTTATCTTATCGAGCCGTGCCGTTAAATATCTTTTGAAGCTGAAAATGAAGTCATCAATTTGACTACTTAACGCTTTTATGCTTGGTGCTGAGCTTTCTTACAGTTGGGTAAACAAAGTAAGGGTATACGCATATCTCGTTTCTCTGCGGCTGAGCGAAGGACTGGGCCATTGAGCATAGATGGTTGCTGCACGGCAAAACTTTTGTCGCGCTTAAAGTTCGCTGCGGAGCTTTAGCCGTGCGCGCTTTTGAATGTACGTATTAATTTTGAAAACGGGGCCAGTCGCTTGCGCTGACCGGACAATTATAGTTAGTTATGGCCTGTTGCCGTTAGTTAGTGTTACTTAGTCGCAGTCACGCAAATTGAGAGCTAATCGCAACAATCGCTCGATATGTGGCACTCACACGCGATGTGCGCGCGGACAGCCTTAAATCAGAGTTGATTAAACTTAATCAAAATAATGATGTACCGCAATATTCGCTGGTCGCTTATGCTTCGTTGTCGCTACCCACCCATCCTCCCCCTTCTTTTCTTTAATATACATATAACTATTTGACCTTGAGCAAAAAGCGCCGGCTATGGCGTATCATAAACTCTCGTGACTTATGTTGTCTCCATTGGCTTGCAGCTGTCACTCTCTGAGCTTTTAAGAACTGAACTTGATCGTACTCTCTGTCTCTCTCTTCCTCTCACTCGCTCATCAACATTTGCTGTGGCTCTCTTTGTGATCTCGTGCTCAACACTTGTTCACGTTTTTTTTTCCCCGTAATTCATTTAAATCAATTGAAAATTTGCGTCTATTTCTGGCTCATTTTGCACTTTGTTGGATTCAAAATGATTTTGATTAATGAAAATTAAAGCTCTTCATGTACTTTGATGGGATTTGATATGCCTGTGTGTGTGTGTTCTTGTTAGCTGATCGTTGCCATCTGTTAACGTTTTACACATTAAAAAATCACAATTTCTTTGCCGATAAATGGCAATGCGTAGAATATATTTAATGAATAATTTGGTTGACTCATTTGAACTTTGCACCTTTCACGTCAGATAAACTAATAACGTAAACGATCAATTTTATAAGAAACAAACAAAACAACAAAATTGTTTTCAGTTGAAGCAAATAAGAGGCTATACTCACCCCATTATATAGTTTAATTTTCATTTCAATATTGAAATAGACCTATGCTCAAAGGAATAAATAAATAAAGCAATTGTCCACAAGGTACAACAAAATAAATAAATAAATAAATAGAAATATAATAATAATAATTGAAGAAAAAAATATATATTTAATTTATCTTTATTTGTGATCTGCTTAACACCTACAATAACAATTTCAAATATATTGATAAATAAACTTAATCTATAGATAATGTTTATTATTAAATGTAAATGTAATATTATTGTCTGCAGGTTTTTAGTCTGATAAGCTGTAATACCTCAACATATAATAGCTTTGCCACTGAGTGAATCAGTGGGACACTTCCTGGATCTGAGCGAAAAGCTGACTTTCACTGAGGGCCTCCCCCATTATTCCCCACTTTTCTAGTCATTCTCCCCAGATAATAAACTCTGTTCACACTCGAAAATATGAACTAATTTTTTTAAGTACAAATATATAATAATATATATATTTTGTAGTTAGCTTAACTATTGAATCATCAGAAAAACCTTTACTATTTTTCCATAGTTTGTTTAAATAGTTTTAGTTCAAATCATTTGTTTACTAATCAGCAAATTTCTGAATGAAATGAATGAATCATTCAAGGAACTGTTTTACAATGAATTTATGAATACTTATGCTGGTTCTGGAATATGAAATCGTATTTGGTATTTGGTATTTACTTCCGTCAAAGACTGTCACTCAGAAAATTAGGGACATGGTGACAGTTTCCTTTTATATGTCAATCATATTGATAAAATGTGTCAGAAATCGTTAAAGCCCAATAACCAAATATTTGCAGATGAATTAAATAAAATGTTGATCGAAATTACCGAAAGTCTCTTAAAATATTCATAAGAATTGAGGCTTAAATGTCAAACTTCTTCGTAATTAAATGTTGTGCATTTCACACTGAACCACATATCCAGGAGCCCAGATAAGAGGGCGAAGCCGTAAATGCCAGCTGTCACACAATAAACAGCGTGACAGTTGTTCGTAATTTTGAGAGGGGCGGGGGCTGGCAGTTGGGGACTCGCGGAGGGTCGCCACTTTTTTCGCGCGCTCACTCAACGTTGGAATCATGAATTTTTCAAAATCAAATCAAAAGTCCGGCCCGCCACGCCCCTTGTGAATAGCAATGGCTAACCCCGACAGCCATAATTTTCAGACAGTTCAACAATCTCGCGTGACTTTTTTCAAGCCATTCCGTGACTCGATTATGGCACATGGGACACATGCGTCTTCCTGTTGCCCCTGCGGGCTGCGACGCCACTGCCGGAGCAGCAATGTGGAGCATGGCTTACGGCTTGCAAGTGTGTCTACGACTGTTGCTGTGTGCGTATGTGTGAGTATCATCTGCTACGCCCACTCGCACATGACAATAAAACAAAAAGTTGAAGAAAAAAAAACTATTGTCTGGGATTTTAAAAATGTATAAGCTTTTGCCATAGTTAAAGCCTGTTTAACTTGGATGATGAGGCAGCTTAAGCAGAGTGACTTTAATCACATCGTAATATCAAAATTAAAGTTGTCTAATTTATAATTCGGTAGATATTTAATAAAAATATTTGCTTTGCTTAGTCTTCAGTACAGCAGTCAAAGCAGGTGTTTGTCTAGTGAAACATTCCAAAGGATACTAAACAGAATTTTAACAGCCATTAGCTCTTATTGGTTAACTCCAATCATCATATATCAAGCCCACACTCAAATGCCCATTGGCAAAATGTTTGCCAAAATGCGTTGCATACTTTCAGGCGGCCACTGTAAAACAGCGAATGGAATTCAATCAGCGCCCAAGAGTGCGCCACGCCCATGTAGCAATTTGCAAAGCAACTGTAAATAATAATTACAAGGAAATGTGCATGGAACAAATATGTATATGAGCACCATTTTTAGAGGCCGAAGGTCGGCCGGCCGGCTTAGTGAATGTGAAGCACGTGTGAGTTGTTAATTACAATTAATGCCAGCAGACGGCGCGCCGTCCAGGTAGCAAATGTGTGAGCGTAGAATTTAAGCCAGACAAAACGAATTTTCAAATTGCCACATAGAGACAACGCAGCACAAACAAATTACAAAATGTTGTTTCAGTTAAAGCTGACAGAGAGAGAGAGAGAGAGAGAGAGAGAGAGAGAGAGAGGGTGAAAATGGGCCAATAAGTAATCATATTATGGGGTAACAGCACTTTGTTGCCAGCTTGAACCGAAAGAATACGAATATAAAATAATAATAATATAAAATTTAAGAAGAAGCTAATTATTATAAATTTTCAAACAAATTAATAATAGGAAGAAAACGTTAAAAAGAAATGAAAGTAGAGTCATGTACAATAAATTAGTTTTTTATATATATTTATAGAAATAAAATTAAAAATACTGAATTTAATCTTTTTTGTAAGAATATATTTTATTATTATTATTTCTATTTCTTTTAGTAAATATATTTATTTTTTTATTTTATTTTATATATTTTATTCATTTAATTGTTTTTTTATTTATTATTTTAATAATATTATTCAAGCTTTGGCAGAGCATAAAATTGTCGTTATAATGAAAGTAAGTAAATATAGATATGTAAGCATGAAAAAGGAATATGTAAGCTTTGGCCTGCCAACAGCTAAAGTGTGTATTCAGCGTAAGTGTGGGCATGTGTGTGGGTGTCTGTGTGTAGGTGTTTGAAAATGTTAGGAATTTTTAATATAATAATGCGCTGCATACTTTACGCTTGGACTTTTCCAATTGGGTGGACTGAAGCAACTGAAGAGTCATATACGTTTCGCTCAACAAATAAAACATACAAATAATAAAACATAATTATATATATATTCGATTTATTCGTATACGACGCATTAATGTCATATTAAAAAGTATAATATAGTAATATATAAAGCCTAAGCACTCTAGCTGCATAAATAATTACTTATATACACAAGTTTAAAGCTTAAACAGTGTTTTTTTTTCCTTTCTATTTGATTTAATGGACTTGTGTTTACACTAAAATGCCATTCGATAACAACTCAATCAGAATATAAATAGCCAAAAGGACTTTATAAAAAATATGCTCATATTTACAAACACACACGCACGAATGTATCGCTGAGTGTGTGCGTGTGCCAGTGTGTGAGTGTGTATAAAAATATTTATATATATAAATTTACATTTGCTGCCAAAGCAAACAGTTTTGCTGTGCATTTAGGGCCAAGCCGAGGGCCATGACTTAAAGCTACATACGTAAATATTAGGTTGGCGTGGAGCGGAGGGCGGCGAGGGGGCTGGATGTGGGGAGTGTTTGGTCTCTAGTACAATAGCTGCTTGTCGGCGTACATGCTGTCCCAGAGCCAGAGCTTGCCGGCCTCAGGTAAGTCAATCACGTGCACATCTTTTGAAATATTCAGGCACTTGAAGACCACATCCTGTCGGGATATGGGCAGCCAGACCTCTGGCTGCACGCTAGCTGTCTTCCCGTCCGGCTCCTCCTGCGGATAGAGAGCGATGCTGGGCTTGCCGGTCGCCGCGAAGTGCACCAGCATGGACACCAGACGCTTTATCGTCCTGAACTCGTCCGTGTGCCTCTTCAGCTTTTTGGCCGCCGCATTGTAAAACAAATAGGATAAATCATCGGCATGGCACGTGCCGCGCACCTTGCGGCCGCAGGTAATAATTCGCATTATGTTGAAGTGCTCCGAGTCAAAATCGAATCGATACAGAAATGTGGGCGCCTGCGGCGCGTACCTTCTGCGCGACAGCAGGGTGCGATGGATGCCGTGCCAGAAATATTTATACGAGCAGAGCTGTAATAAATTCAGTGCATGGATTAAAGCCAGACATCTTAATACTTGAATATGGGTAAATATACATACATATATGTATATGTATATAGAAAGAGAGGGAGAGATTGGAGGTACCTATTCTAGGCACAGTATCTATCAAAGAGCAGCTAAATAAATTTATAAATTCAAGTACATGTATATACATATGTGTATATGCTTTAATGTTGTGATTTATTGCATTTATTATTTATATTTATTTGTATTTTACTGCTCTTTGATAGCTACTGTGCATACAACAGGTACAACAGGTGGAAATATATACAGCTTAATTTTCATCATTTATTTTTCATGCTTGGCTGCAGTAATCAAATTGATTTATATTTAAGCATCTCTCTAGCCACTCTTCTACTTCTATTTCTTTTGCATCGATTGCAATATACAAATATTAGTCTATAAAACGTGTCTAACAGGTTTGGGCATTAACATGAAATTTACGACCAGCCCCAATGTCAAAGCGATTGAGTCTTGGGACATGCGATTAACACGTGTGTCCTTTGCTCCAATTACACGCCTTGGGAGCAATTGGCCGCATAGTTCAATTGTTTATAAGAAAATAAATGCTCACCTATGAAACTGTTTCCATAACAGGAAACGGATAACAAGTCTCTTGCTCTTAAATCTTCTGAGATCGACGCGTTCATACCGGATGATTTCCCATTTTGAAAAAATTCAAAAGACGTCGCTCTTACCAACAGTTCAGCTAAAGTAAATCTAACTCACTCATCGATATATATGGAGCATAGATGGTTCCTAAACCATAAACCGCTCTGAGTATCCCCACCAATGTGAAGAGACTTTGAGAAAGACAGCAGCCAGCATAAAGAGTAAAATTTCTAACATCAGACACATATGCCCAACTCTAGCTCTCCCATCTGAGTTTGGCATAGATGACACTTTAGCACTATCTCCTTCAACTGAGTACAGTTTTGAATAAATGGCTACCGCTCAATCTAGTATGTATTCCGATGTATTCCTCACCAATGACATAGATACTCGGAAGAAGAGAACAGCCCAGCATGAACTATTATACCTCAATATTATATCTCAATAATCAGAGTAATGATTTATGTAGCTCACTCATATTATACACTTTGTATCATGGTTATATGTCATCCCTATATTTCGCCTTGTTTATTACATTTCTGCAGCGAATTCCCTATTGACCTTTAGCCCTTTATGTCTATACCCTCCCACTATATATGTATGTGCTATATATCTATATATTTTCTAGATCTACTTACATCACAGTATTGTAGAATTGTCTTTGGGCTGGGCTCGTCGTCTCCAAAGTACGAGGACTTTAGCTTCCTGCCAAAGGCTCGTCGCTGGTCCGCATCGAGGCCGGCATCCTCGGGCGTGAGGAACTCGCAGTCGCCCAGCTCGCAGAGCAGATCGGGCCACTTGCGCACCTCGGGAAAGACGAGCAGCCCCTCGAATGAGTTGCCGCCCACGACGAGGGGTATGTCGTTGCCCCAGCAGTTGCGCATCATCTCCAGCGGGTGCTTTGGGATCACGCAGTGCTTGGACTCGTATGGCTCGACGGTGGGTGCAAAGCAGAACATCACCTTGCGCTGATGCCGCTCCTCCATGGTGACGATGTCCTCGGCCATGCGGAGCATGCTGCTCGCCTTGCACTGTTGCAGGTGCTTGAATATCTCCCGGTCGATCGGCTCGCCCGTATAGCCCGTGGCCTTGGCCAGGCGGTACGCCCAGTCGTTCTTGGGCGTGACGGCCCAGGGCGACAGAGCCGAGCCGGACATGAGCACAGCCTTGTGAAAGAGATTCCGTGTCTGCTCCGTGAGCATCATGTAATGCGTGGAGGCGCCTCCTGCGCTCTCGCCAAAGACGGTTATGTTGTTCGGATCGCCGCCGAAGAATTGACAATTTCGTTTGACCCAGCGCAGGGCGAGCACCTGATCCTTGAGGCCGGCATTGCCGGGCACATCCAGCTCGGGGTCGTCTAGTGTGAGAAAGCCCAGTACGCCCAGGCGATATGTAACGGTCACCAGCACCACGTGCTCCATCATGATGTAGTCGGGACTGTAGAGATCTCGCGAGGCTTCGCCCATCTGGAAGCCTCCGCCATAGATCCACACGAGCACGGGCAGCGGCGTTTGCGGCTTCAGCTGGAATAGAATCAATGTCAATGAAATCTAGATTCAACTTTGACTAAACCATTCATTAGACCCACCTCCCTGGTATACACGTTCAGGTACAGGCAGTCCTCGCTGCCCTGCACCTGCTTCAGCACCAGATTCACCTGGCAGGGCTTTGTGCGTACGCGCGTGCACCGCCTCACCTCCGTCCAGGCATCCGGCTCGACGGGCGCCTTGAAGCGCAAGTCCCCCACCGGGGGCTTGGCAAAGGGTATGCCCTCAAAGCTGTAGTAGTGCGGCCCATAGACCGAGCGCCACTTCACGCCCTTCACCCGGCCGTAGACCGTGTCGGCAACGACCTTATCGTTGCTGCGCAAATGTTGTTGCTTTGTCTTAAACTTGACATAGCTGGAAGCAAGAGATAAACAAAGGTGAGCATCATTAATGCAATACCAATCCGACAGGTGAGTGCACTTCCAGCCAATCAAATTGACCAAGTGTTTGAATACGCATTCGCCTGCTCTGTTTGTAAACATTCAATAGGCACTTTGCGCGGGCCTCTATAGCCACCATGCCTAGCCAAACAACATCAAGACATTCAAATGATTTCATTAGCGGGTGGCATAAAAATGGGACTTAGAATGCCTAGAGAATATTATAATCATTTACCACATGTCTTTCATATATTATATCCATGTCTGTTGCTTAACCTATTTAGCCCTAGGTTAGTTACAGACATATTTAGTTAAAAGATATATATTTAAATGAAAAAAAAAAAAAAAAAATGCTTAATATAATTCAATATATAATTTAAAAAAAGATTGTATGCTATAATTAAAAAAATAAATAAATAAATAAAAATAGAAATAAAAAAGACAATAAATAAATATAATTTTAATAAATTAAAAAAATTAAATCCTCTTAGCTTGCAATTACAAAACAAAAATGTTTTTTGAAAAATAATTGCATGCTGCATACAATTTGCCTTTATTATATTATTTATTAAATAATATTAAACCTGACATAAACCTTCAAAAACGTTTTATGGAATACCAAAAAGGAAGACAAAGAAAATTTTTCAATATGAAAATTTATTTTTGTTCCTTGTATTTTTTAATCAATCTTTATTTTAAATTTAAAAAAAAAAAAAAAAAATTCGATTTATATTTCATGCATTTAATGTTAATCGTAAAGTACTAATTCATTTAAAAAAAATTATATTGCTCATATTTTAATTATTTTAAATTAATTTAATTGGTATTTACCTAATAACTAATAAATAAATGAAATAATTAATAAGATAACTAATTAATATTTTTCTGATAAACTTAAGAAGTTGATTAAAGTTCTATACCACTATGAAAGATCTCTCTTTTAATTTTGTAAATTCAAACCGTGTTATGTAAGTGAAATGAGAAAAACAAATTTCAATAACTTCAGCATGAATTGATTTAAATTATTAATTGGTGAGTTTTCTCTTAATATCTTCCCCCTTCGCTCTGCTCAATGTAATTTTGTTTATATTTAAAGAACAAAGCAAAAATTCAGCGTCTTATCAATGCTATCAAACACTACCGTAAATTCTAATCAAAATAAAACCAATTATCGAATCTACTGAAAATAACAAATTCAGTGCAAAGCAAGTTAAACACAGTCTAGCGCTTTACTTTTTGTCGTTGTTGTTGTTTTAGAACAGGGTATTACGTGTACGTGAACGCCGGAGAACGAGCGCCCCCATTAAGTATTTCAAGTGCGTTTCCATTTAGAAAACGTGCCAGCCAAACGATGCGTGAGTCGATCCACAGCAGACCGCGGCGCCTCGATAAATAGATAGATTTTCAGATATGGAAATATGAAAAAAATTTGCAGCTCACACAAATCACTCGTAGGCAACAAATTAATTAGCAGCTGGCGAAGTTCATCCTCTTCTTCTTTAAGCTGTACAGAGCAGAGTGCAACCTTGAGGGTATTTTCATAATTCAAGTTAAAAACTCTTCTAAGCACTTTGTGTGAATTGTACAACACTTATACAGTGCGCGCTAATTGCAAGCATTAATTCTAGAATTTCACCAGGCTCAAGGTCAGCGTAGGCTACATAAACGAGCTGGCAGCCATAAAGTAACCTGGGTCAGACTATAGTCTATAGAACTGGTTATTCCAAGCTGAGCTTCATGTAGCCCCGATATGTGTATGCCTGTTATATATATGTATGTACATATATATTCATATAACTTTTATTTTTATGACCGTCGGAAATGAAAATAATCATGTGGCAGCCGAGACGCAATATCCCATAACCGGGCCGCATCTGTTTCTGGGTCTGCTGGCGATTTGTATGCCGATCGAAATTGAAATCACAAAGAAACGACGCTCACAGAAATCTCTGACATTGACTTTGCATACGAACTAACCACATAAATTATTTACAGTGTGCTAATCAGATGTGCATATAACATATCTCAATATACCCGAGTAGCAGCGGCGGAAGTCTTTTGTCAACCGCATTAGTTAGTTAGTTGATGTCTGAGCGTTTGGCAGGTGCGAAATGTCTGTAATTATTAACGCAAACTTAGAGTTCCAAATGATGAATACCCTTGTAATAAAATGAATTTACATACGCAAATATTCACACAGACAGCCTCAGCCACATAATGTCTTGTCCTCGTCTGCTGCCCCTTAACAGCTGCGACAATTGCTGAGAATTAGCAACTTCCTTGTCAGCTAGCTAACAATGCGTTATCTCTTTACAACATGCATGCCTCAATTAAAATAAGTGTGCCACAACTCACTCGAAGCAAACATAGTGAATCAATCAATATTTCAATTCATCATTTCGGCTGCGGCGCACTGCAGGTCAATGACATTTTGGCCCAGCGCATTTTATTTTGGCTGCCAAAAATGTGGCCGAACAAATTCGCAGCCATTTATCAAATTCGTGCAGCGATGTGTAAAGCAATGCAAATGCAAAATCTGAAATCGCTTGCAATTTTAGCAGCCATTGATGGATTTCATACCGCCAAAGAACGATTCTAGACACAATACGCTCGCTCGTCTATAATATTGAATTTAATATTTTTATTTTTGTTAATGGAAGTGTGATTCCGTTTTATGGCGGTAGAAACAGGGCAACAGCAAGAGAAAATAATTAACAAATCCAATATAAAAAGTGTATAATATAAAGCGGTACAAACTTTGGTTAAGCAACGAATTGCACTGGCCAAATGGAAAATCCGAATTTAAATTGAATTTGTCACGAAAGTCACTCAGCTCACTAGCTAAAAAGTAAAAAGGCATTACCAACGCCAAAATACTCATTCACTGCTAGATGAATTTTCTACAATTATATATAAATATACATCAGATATGTATATACATATATAGATTATTCCAATATCAATAGAGTATTTTAGTTGTTGACTTTGCAGTTTCTATCTCTAAGACTGTCAATCCGAATACGTATTCAAAATTTCAACTCTCTACCACATCAACAAATGCTTTGCAGACGGACGGATAATATCCAAAACCAATATACCCATTTCACTTTCCTGAAGGTGAACAACTCTTAGTTCTCTTTCATATAAGTAAACTGAATAAACGATATTGAGTAAACTATATTACGAATCAGATAAAATTTCCAAGTTTCATGAGCAGCTATTTCCCTATATTAATAATGAATTTTAAGTGTTTCGTTAATGACTCGACTCGAATTATTTTATTCGCATTTATTATTCAAATTGCTTGACTAATTATTTATTTATACAACACAGAGAATGTTCGCCTTTAAGCAGGCCTATTAAATATATGTATGTGTTACAAAAGCGAGAATTCAATTTAACAGCACTGAGACTAAGTGTAAAAATTAGTTCTGCCCGCAGCTGTTGTTTCTTTACTATGCGAATACCTGGAATAATTACCCAAGCGTTAATTCTCAATTATTTCCTAAGCGTTGCTACCATCTGAAATTGTATTCAAAACTTGCGAACGAAAAAAACTTGACTGAGCCCCGGCCAAAACTCAGCCGAAGACTCGTTTTTGTTGTTGATGTTGTTGTTTTTTTTTTATGCATCTACGCAAACAGTTTGTTGACATTTCGAGCTGCTGACACAGTTTGGCGAGTCGGCAGAATTTTTACAAAAATAACGCTAGGCTAACCCTGACATTTTGGAGAAGTGAGCCAAACGTGTGCATAGCGAATTTTCGCTGTGATCTTGACTTTGGCCAGTTAGTCAGAACGCTTTCAGCTGCTGTTCGGTTCCACACAAATTGGCTTAAGGCAGCGTGATAATAGAACTGGCCGTGTCACTTGATAAGCCAACTAAACTTTTGATTTATGTAGTGAAGTGTTCACGAAAAACTTAGCGAGCGCGCCCTTATCAACCGATTTCGCATTGCTATAGATATTCTATAATAATAACATTAAAATAGGCTGACAGCTGATAAAAACTGCGTACAAGAAACATTGGTAAACCTTTTCAAATTACGTTTACTCACTCTGACTGGTCACTGGGAACAAAGTTCACTGTAGTACAGTCAGACTAGACATAGTGACGATCTTATCAGTCGCTGGCTCTGGCTCTAGATCAGCCGGATCCTCAAGGTGAAACGTAAGTGCAGACAATGCGGATGCAGATTCATACAGAAAGACCTCCAGCTGTACGTACATGAACCGGATTCACGGTGCTCGATGAGCCCAGCCTCTAAGGCTGCTCTGCGATTGCTGCGGCTGCTACGGTAGGCCAAGTGCTGATAAGCTCAATATTCCAAGCCCTGACGCAGTCACTTGAACAAAATTTATATTTATAGTTTTTGTTTTTCTTTTTTTGACTGATGGGCGATAAGCCGTACTCATGTCAGTGAGAAAGGTTCAATCGGCACTTGAACTATTCGATAGATTCCTATTAAGTCAATCAGACGGCAATTTTTATTTGCGAATCGACTGCGATTTTCTATTATATAATAAGTGTGCAAATTATCAAGACTAATGTCGTAATGAATGTGACCTAGATTATATTTGAAAATATTTGTGATTTGTTCTAGGTATGACTAAATTATTATTTTCTATTATATGACTAAATGCAGTTGAAATTATTTTATAATTAAGCTACGATAAAATTCTTATCAATAAATATTCATAACGAATTGAAGTCACCTTTGCAAATCGCCCATTTAATATATTTTTTAAAAATGAAAAAAAAGCCAAACCATATTGAATTAGGTTGGAGTATCCTTAATGATCGAATATAAAAAAATTGTAATTCTATTTAATAACTAAAATATGTGATTTTCAATTGAAATGCAAATTTTTTTTAATATTAAATATATTTATTTTATATATTAAATAGTTATTCTTTTCATTTTCAGTAAATAAAAAGAAACTTTTTCCCTTCCTCTTTTAATTTGAAATATTTGTAGACAATATTATAATAAATATTTTGTATAGTTTTAATACAATAATAAAATATAATTTAAATAGAATGTGATACATTTTTAATAACTAAAAACGCCTTAATTAATTTTTATGAAAATATCTGTAGAGATATTTTATTTTTATTTAAAATGTGTATATATATATTTTTTTTATTGAAATGTATATTGACATATATTGTAATTTTATGCAAGAAAAAGTATTATCATTAAAAAAAAAAAATTTATTTATAATATACAAATTAAAGATGCTTTCCTTTCAATCTGTAGCTAGCTTTGGTAATAGTGTTATGTAAATGACATGTATGTGTAAGTATAAATTCAAACAATATTGAAGCTTTGCTTGAAAATGTATGCATTTAATTTCATATATAAATATTTGTATTCACTTACTTTAATGCAATGCGCATCTGATCGGCGATGGCTATATCGAATGACATGTTCTCTTGTGGCTTTTAAGCAGCTCGCCGATGCAGCGCAATTCGATTCCTTGCCTCTGGGCAATTAGACACACACACACACACTCACACACGCACGCGAGCACACACAAACAGGAAAAACAATTCTAAATCACAATAGACAGCGTGACAGGTCAAATTGTTTTAAGTGGCAAATTGCAAGTGGCAAGTGGCAAGTGGCATATAAAAAATATGAAACGCCTACGCGGCGTATGCGTAACGTGGCCTCTTAGCAGGCTGTCGCCTTGGTTTGAAATGCCCGATTGATTTTTCGTTTCACTTGTTTTCTTTGCAAAGGCTTTCGAATTTGCACTCGGTAGGATTTGGTCGTTTCCCGTTTAATTAGATGTGGCGCTGCGCCTCATTGATTGAGATTGATTGAACGCCGGCTTTGGGGCCTCGGGCTTGACTTGCGTTTTACTCAGGGGCTGCGCGTCTACTGAAGCATTTGAAGTAGGCGCTGTTTAAGTTTAGTGGTCGAGCGCTCGACGCTGACGCTCGAATGCTCGAGCGCTCGGACGTATGTACGTATCGCACGCACACACACACACACAGGCACACGCACACACAGAGAGAACCGCAATTTTTACACTCATTTAGTCTGGCCGGTCGTACGAGTGATATTCTCAATGTGTATGCATGTGTGCGTGTGCGAGTGTGAGTGTGAGTGTGAGTGTGCGCTCCCTGGTTTCGCACTCAAATGCCCATGGCATTGTCTGCTCGAGTGAGTTCGCTTGCTGTCTCTGCTGGGCGCCGTTGTTTTGTTTAAACGTTATCGTTCTTGTTGTTGCCTTTTGTTTATTGTTTATAGCATGTGCACACACACACACACACACACACACACACACTAGCACGAGCACACAAAATAGTTTTCACTGCAGTTGCCTTTTTGTTGTTGATTTGTTTGAGTTTTGGTTTGAAAGTTATTTTATTTTGTTTATGCACATATTTCACTTTGTTTGCACTTTATATATTGTCGCACGGGGCGTATGTGCAACAATTTGTAGTACACTGTTTTCGGAACGGAAGCCATGTTAATCAACAGTTTGCGACAAGTTTAGAGCTCAAACTGTGTGCCAAAATAATATGTATATATGTATGTATGTGTGTGTGCATATGTTAACTATATTTATTTTTGTCAAACTGATACGAGTGACATTCAGTTTGGGTAAGCCTCACATTATATTTATAAACTCGAATGTGGCCAGTGCATTCGCATAGAAACTCCTTTGAGTCCTGCCCGACTAATTTTAGCATAGTTTTTAAGCCCTCAATGGACTAAAGAGCTGACTATCCGCCAAGATTAGGCACACAGCAGTCCCAGGCAGTCTCTCGCTCCCATTGAGTGTTTTTGAAGTAGCTCAATATTTTCATTTTGCACTCGATTGGAAACTGTTGCATGTGCTGCCTATTGTATTAGGATATTGCGACTCAGGCGGGTGCGGGCTACAGCGGATCATTAGCGCAGGCAATTAGTGTTATTAAAGCAGTCGACTCGTTTCAATTAGCTCGGCACTGAACGTCAGCTGAGGTGCATATAATTAATTTAATGAACTGCCCATCAAGGAATATAGATTTAATATTCAATCTATGATGACTGGCGCACGAAAGGGAATGCAGCTGTAGTATACGTATGTATATAAGTAGACTATGGACTTCTCTGACCTGTTTTCGATATTCAACTGCATATTTTCAGAGCGAACTTTATTTAATTGATTATAAGGCCCATTGGCTTACAATCAAATGATGAGTGATATTACGTTCGAGATAAGGCCTCGTCAATAAAACAATTACAGCGGTTAAAAGCTATGATTAGTTATTTAGCCGAGAGTGTGTACACTGTCAATATAAACAACAACTATTAAAGTTGTCTATACATTTCAATTTACAATGTGAATATTATTTCAAGGTTCAACTTGTTTTTCAACTATTTATTTATATGCATTGGAAACACACTAATATCGTGTAACGTGTATTCAGTTGAAACAGCGAATTATAGTAGTACCTGTTGATGGGGTATTATAGCGTCACGCTACATATGTTTACATACGTATATGATGGCTAAACTATGGAACACAGTTCAATCCCAAAGGGAAAGCCCATTTGCGCACTTTGTGGGTGTTTAATTGAATGTTGATAATTAGATGATATTAAGTCAAATATGATACAAGCCAAAAATGGTAATAATAATAGGAGTAAAAATCCAATTATTGATTTTAGCACATAATTATAATATAATATGTTTACCAACACTAGAACTAGTGTTGTAAGCAACCGCCATTAGAGACACTCACAGGAATTGAAACTAATATTAATGCCAGTACAAATAGTACTACTAAAACTTATATTGATATTAATACTAATACTAACACAGATACTAATAACAATTTGAACACAAATGTTGGTAAATGTAAACAGATCGAGAGCAAGACAACAAAGATTCCTGATAGAAGCGAGGTTTTGGTAGGCTAATTAAGAAGATGACGAAGCCGATATTATTCATGCAAAGAAGATCAGCATACCACACAGTCTCTGAAATTGCCGTGATAGCGATAACAACAGTCATTCGAGTTGACTTGCTTGCTCCGGCAAAGTGGAGAATTCATGAAGTCAGCAGCAAAGATCGTTCGACAGCTAAGAATAGGCCCATGGAAGACATGATGATCACACGAAAGCTGCTGGACTGCAAAAACCACCACAGATCTATGAGCATGAGTGGCTAAAGAGCGCACAAACGCTGTCGCTCATTGAAAGCCAGTTTCTATTTTATTTATTTCACACAAATGTTCTACATTTAAGTCCTCTACATTTGCTGTGAAAATGCAATGGACGACGAGCACACCCTCTTTAGCAGCGAAAGATGACCAGAAGAAAGAATCAACTTGGCAGAAGCTTGATGAGTGAAGTGAAGACTAAATGTGCAGAAGCACTTGCGACTTCGCCGAAAATATTCTGCGGCAGGAAAAGTATTACACAGGTAAACAGATAGCATTGTTTAATTCGAGCAAGAGCTCCTTGAAGGCCAATGGGGGATAGATCTAAGTTCCAAGTTAGTAAGAAGTTCTAGCAAAGAAGATTTGTTGGCCGTATAAGCAGTATGACACAAAAGCCAGAGTAACGACCTTTCCAGATGGTGCAAAATGTATTTTTACTTACCTCTGCCACACACCCACACACACGAAACTAATAATTATATTCTGTACATATTATAATACTAGTAAGGTAAAAGTGTAAAAGGAATTATACTAATACTAACACTAGTACAAGTGGGATAATTATACTTGTACTAACTCTAATTATACTTAAAGCAACATCTGAACAAATGCTCATACGAATGCTGACGATAATTGTACTACTAGTACTAATACTAGCACTAGAAGTAACTCTAATACTTATTGTATTAAGTGCATTTGTAATATTAGAAAAAAATACTAATAGTACTAGTACTTATTCTAGCCTAGATACTAATTCCAATTAGTAACTAATTAATTACGTTATGAATTTAAACTAAACCTGATAAAAATAGTAGTAGAATAATACCCATATACACTAGTACTTATTCTTATATACATGCTTATACTCCTATTCGAATTAATACCAAATTAATCGTGTTACCTGGCAATTTAAATTAATTAAACTTCATAATTAAGCCACACAGACAGCCATAGAGCTTGGCATTAAATTCAGGTAACTCTGCCCGAGCATCTGCTGTGCCAAGCAGAGAACTGGACAATTGTCAGAGTTCGCAGTCCGCAGACGGTGAATTATGCAGTAGTACCTGGATGGCCGACTCTAGGCACATAAATAACTGGACAAGCGGAGCACGTTCGGACTGAAGCTAAGCAGTTGCAGAGCTAGATACGTTGAGCTGGATCCCGGTAATAGCTCAGGTTGTATTTGTGGGATTATGTGCGTCAAGCAGCTTGTAAATTTAATTGAATCGCCAACAAAGGACAGCAATAATTATTCGATATACCACATATACACATATATATGAATATATGTATGTATGTATGTATGTATACATATGCAATTTAGGTTAAACGAAAAGTGAGTGAGATGTCGCCCAGGCCAGGCCTTCAGTTTATTGGGCTCAGTTTATTGGGGACGCTTTTCGGCATTCTTTTTGGTAAACTCCTCTGCGGACTTCATGAACTTCTTGTGATCTTTGACAAACTCCTCGGCCAAATCGGAGCGCAACGGATGCTCTGGCTGGGGATTGTGCACAATGTCGATGAGAGCCTGAAACACCTGCTCGGTGCGCGTTGTCGGCTTCCAGTTGTCGGCCGTGATTATGGAGAGGCACACCTGGCCCTTCTCATCCACATTGGGATGATAGATCTGGGTCTTGAACAGTATTCTCGGCGGCATGAACGGATACTGGGCAGGGAAGCTGACCTCGATGCGAAAGGCACCCTTGTTGTAGGGCGCCTTCTCCGGCACCAACAGTCCGGTCCACAGCAGCAAGGATTCATCTGAGGCTTCCACATTGCGCAGGACCTTCGACTTGGCGGCCATGATATCGCTAAGCTCGCGACTTAAACGATGCGACGCGGACATAGTTTAATTTTATTATTTTTTTTTATTATTTTTAATTTTTTTTTTTTTTTTTTGGTGGGAGCTATAGAAAATTTGTAAATGCAGATAATTTCGGACTATTGTTGACTGAATTTTGAAAGCCTATGTTGTAAAATACTATTATTATATTTAATTATTTTAACATTCCACCAATTATTTATTTCGATCAACTGAAACTGAATACAGCGGGATTTATGTACAAATTCGTATTACAGTAGTTAGTTAGAACAGCAGCGCCTTGTTATCATCGTAGAGACTCTCCCAGATCTTCAGCTTCGGCCATTCGGGCAGCTCAATAAACTTCAATTCATCGCTAATGTTCAGGCACTTGATGCTCTCATCGCTCTTCCGCACCGGATCCCAGGTAATCATGTCCAGGCCATTGATCTCCGAGCTGTACGGGTTGCCGGTCTTCGCAAACTGTGTCCAGATGCCCACCGTACGCTCAATGTTGCGGTACTCCCGACTCTCCTTCGGCATCCGGTGTGCCAGGAGACTGCTGAACTGATACGTCAAATCGTCCGCATGGCTGACGCCCTTTACTCCACGGCCGTAACGCATGATACGGTACGGGAATATCAACTCCTCCGAATCGAAGTCGTAGCGATAAAAGTATACCGGCGAGCCCGCGGCATGGGCGTGTCGAGAGCGGACCACGCGCAGCGCAGGAAAGACGAAATAATATATGGAACAGAGCTGTATGAGAAAGAGAGAAAGGTCGATCGATCAGAATATAAGCTTAAGGTACATGTTGTCAGTTAACAAACCCTACGATATTCTTCATTTTATATTAATTCTAAACTCTAAATAAGAAAATAAGTTCTAAGCAATCAATTAAATAATGTATTCGTCTCAATCAGTCAATCAATCATTTGAACAGCACAATAAGCTGCCAGGCTTCAGGCATTACTTCCATTGGTCGAACAATCATTGCCTCAATCAGTCAAGCAGTCAAATCAGATTTCAATACTTAGTCAATCATTGAATCAATCAAAGCTGCAAATCAGTTACATCTGTCTGTCAGTCAATCAGTCGGGTAGTTAATTATCAATGGAGCAATCTATTGAAGGACTAGCCAAATATCATTAAACTCTTAATAAGTCTTTAATTTAATCAATCAGTTAGTTGCTCTTAATATTGAAAGTGGAATTATTATAGTCTTCACATCAACCAGTTAAATTATGTATTCAATCAACCAATTTATACCAATCATTCAACAATGATTGAATGACTAGATATGTAGAAAAATACTCAGTCCATCCATTCAATCAATGTTGCATAAAAGTCAGTCAATCAAGCATAAAATTTAACTGCCAATCCATTGGTCAGCCAATCAATAATTCAGTTTCTTTCTTAAACATATTGTTAGTCAGCCACTCAGTCAATCAGTCAAGTTCTTCTAGTCGCTCAATCAAATTGATTGAAAAGAGGTATACGCAGTATCCACTCCAACTTACATCCATATAATTATCAGGAGTCGCCTTCTCGCCTGTCAAATGAGCGCTGCGTATCTTCTGGCCCCAGCTGCTGACCTTTTCGCTGTTGATCGCTGCCAGCTCGCGGGGAACGAAGGGCGTGCCTGATTCCACCTGCTGCACCACCTGGGGCATCAGCTTGACCTCTGAGGAAGCAGAATTTCAGTTTGAGCTTCAGCGGGAGACTGAATTTCCCACTCACCTGGTACCCAGAGCAGACCCTCGTAGGAGGTGTTGCCTATCATCATGGGTATCGAGTTGCTCCACGCGGTCTTCATCATATCGAGCGGATGCTTCGGCAGGACGCACTCGGGCGTGGCATATGGCTCCAGTGCGGGGCCAAAGGCAAACATCACCTTGTTCGCATGCTCCTCGGGCGTCAGCACCTGCTCCTCCACGCGTATCAGGTCCCTGGCGCGCACTGTCTGCAGAAACTGTAGCACATCCTTCTCGTTGTCCTCGCCCTTGTAGCCCGCCAGCTTGGCAATCCTGAAGGCGCGCGACGTAATGTCGCCATTGAAGGCCCAGGGCGCGATGGCGCTGCCCGACTGCAGGATGCCACGATGGAAGAGTCCCTGCGTTTGGTCCGTCAGCATCATGTAGTGCGTGGAGGCAGCTCCGGCACTCTCGCCAAATACCGTTATGCAATCAGGATCGCCACCAAAGCTGGCGCAGTTGTTCTTGATCCATTTCAGAGCCATCACCTGGTCCTTGAGACCCGCATTGCCCGGCACATTCAAGCCAGGAGTTTTCAGACTCAAGAAGCCTACAAGCAATGCACCATTAGAGTGGAACCAGATGAGATTCCGATATACGGTTTTCGAATTTACCTAGAGCACCCAAACGATACTGAATGGTGACCAGCACGACATCCTCCTTCATGAAGTAGTCCGGGCCGTACCAGTCGCGATTGGCCTCGCCAATGATGAAGCCGCCGCCGTGTATCCAGACCATAACTGGGCGTGGCTTGGCGGGACTCAGCTGGTTGGTAGATAGTGGATCGAATGTTATTACCTCTTCTATATATTCACGCACCCACTCACATTGTTCGTGTAGACATTCAGATAGAGGCAATCCTCGGAGCCCTCGACCTTGTCGAAGACGAAGTGCACCTGCACTGCCATGTCCTTGGGCTGCGTGCAGTCCCGCACGCCCTCCCAGGGCGTGGGTCGCTGCGGCGCACGGAACCGCAGCTCCCCGACTGGCGGCTGGGCATAGGGTATGCCCTCAAAGCTAAAGTAGGGCAGATCGTAGATGGACAGGCGCTTTACGCCCCGCACCTTGCCGTACTCCGTGTCGGTGACGACCGCCTCATTTGTGGTCAGACGATACTGTTGGATTTTATGCTCGATTGTTCTGTGAAATATGACAAATTTACATAATAATAATAATGGAGTGCGCAGTACATTTGCATGTATATATTGCATATGTAAAAGCCTAGATAATTTGATATTTTGTTCGCCCCTGAGCTCATTTTAATTACGATACCCTGCATACTCAACGGGAGGCCAAGTGGGGCGTTTTGGGGTAGTAATTGTAAATGTATTTATATATAAATAAATAGTTCATATCTTCATTTACTACAGAAAGTCTTTAATTTGATTAATGTAAAGAAGGGTATTTCCCCGTCGACTCACAAGCCTCTACTTGTTTACTTGTTCGCACTTTTCACACTTTTCATTTGCCTACAGGGCATCGCTGTGTCACTCCTACCCGCCCCTTGAGCACCTCTATTTGCTTTAATTAGCATTAAATTGAAATTATTTTGCTGATGCGGCTGCTGTGGCTACCGTTGCTGCTATTTACCATATCGTCAGCCCATCAACTAGACAACAGCCTCCACATCCGACTCTGCCTCTGCTGAAGCTTGTGGAGCTAACTGGAGCATTGGCATGCACATCCAGTTAACCGGGCACGTCTGTCAGTGATAAATGAACACCGGCTGACAAGCCAACTGCTCGGTCACGCTACAATGCACTCAACTGCCACTGGACACTGGGCAAGGGGCGTGTGCCCCTCCCATCCCCTTTCTCCGAGAGTGGCTCTCAAGTCCGAGCCCCCACTTCAGGCTGAACTTTGTGTCGTCAAGTAGCTCTCAGCTATCAGCGGGACACAAAACCTAGTATAAAGAAACGTGCCTCGAGATAAGGCACAGCAGCCTCTGCGGCCTGTGTGTGGAGCGACGACGAGATTATTTATATAACGATTGTAAAAGTAATTGCACTTATCACACGGGGCATAACTCCCATGCCAAAGGCCGACAAAATAGTAGAATATATATAAATGGTAATGTGTTTATTGTGTCTATTATTGGCGCAAAGCAGAGAGATTGCTGCAAGACCAGCCCGCACGTACAGGCTAACTTCTCAAGATCTTCGCTTGCTTTGTCTGTTAGTAAATATATACTTAAGATGTAGTCAGTATAAGTCAATAAATTCTAGATTTTAATATTATATGTCAAACAGTGAAAGAGAGGGAAAACGCATTAGCAATGATATTATATAATATTATTGCAATAATACAGCAGAATTCAGATTATAATAAAATTCTGGTATACGTAAATGAGCAAACTTATATGGTTATAGCGGCCCCTTTAGCGTCGTTATAGCTGACTTCTACTGTTAATCGATTGTGAAATCATTTCTGAATTGTTTTAATTACAATTATACATATAATAAATATATTAAAAAAATGTCGAACTTTATACTTTCTACCACAAATTATATTTATTTATTAAAAAATATATATAATTTATTATCATGAAAAAGAAACAAGATTTAATATAACACGCTTCTTAATCAGAATCAGCATACGACCTAATCTATCCGTCTGTCTGCCCACATGTGCATAAAATCTTGGAAGTTGAATACTTAAAGACTTGCTAGAAAATGAAAACACATTTTCATTTCCACAAAACATTTTGTGACTTGGTATATTTGTTATTTAAACTCTGGAAACAGTAAGTAAATGCAGACTTATTGTTATTTTCCTAATGAGTAGCCTTGTGGTTCCTCTTGTCATTTCATTTTTGTACTCTATATCTATAAATCTATATCTGTAGTGCATATATTTCAATCTGAAATCTATATTTCACAAGACAACATATTTTGTGCTCGATAGTTCTTATCAATACAGATATTTATGATAAGCTAGATCATTTGTCGACTTTTAGTGTTTGTCGTCATCATGTAATTTAATCTAATTGCATTTGCTAAACAAATAAAATATCTTGCGTTTATTTGATAAACGATTCGCAATTGTGAAGTTAATTGAATAATTACCTTCATTGAGCTTTACGACTTGAACTTGGGAGAACAAAAATATATACATTTAATAGTACATGGAATTGAAATGTGAGATTGGAATGGGAAGGGTGCATGTCAGGCATGACGGTTTCTGAGGCGGGGGCGATGGGCCTCGTCGCAATATCGTATTCAATGCGCACTTCCAGCCACATCCCATTGCAGCTCAACGCCTTGGGCATATTTAGAGAAAACTTCTAATAATACATTGAATGTGAATATCAAGTGCAATAGAGTAAGATACAAACAACATTTAACAATGTCAACAAATTGTGTTTATATCTATGTATGTATGTACATATATAAATTTCTATATATCTTCGACTGGGGAAAACTGTGCGCTAATGACAGGCCGTAAATACAAAATATGCTACTCATTAAACTGATTAAGCGATTAATTTGCGAACGTATGAAATAATTGAGAGGTTATAAATTAAGGGATTATGTGACATTTTAATGGTTGACATAAAAACTTTATTGATTTACTATAAAACTGCATTTTATCGGCGGCAGCAAAGAGTCAACTTTGCTGTGCGAAACATGATATCTTCAGCTATTCATTAAACGAATCAATATTTATTTATTAGTCAGTTATTACCAACGATTTCAGAGCAATTTATCAAAGGAAAAGACTTGCTATAGTTAGTTCATAGAGATGATATGTGGAATTTCTGCCTAGTTTTCCAAGCTTTTTATTCATCAACTGGTTCCATATGTAAATACGCCATGAGTAAATAAATAGAGTATCAATATTTGAGTCGAAGTAAACCTGGTATAACACCACTTCTAATATCTATACACATTTATTGATAATCAAGGTGCTGCTGGCATCATATTGCACAGAAATAAATGTTGACATGTTCAGAGAAAAATGTTGATTGAGTCAGACAGACAAGTAAGTTGGTGAGCTAATGAATAGAACAACCGATGGCCAGAACTTGAACAAGCGAGGTACTTGATCCATTAATAATGAAATAAATGAGTCTAGATTAATTGTGGGCCACACAGTCGCACTCACTTCAAACGCCAACGCAGCCGCTCAACAAAGCCGACGTTTTTGTTCATCTTCAAAATGTTAGACACCAACTATATGAGAGCTGTATTAGCTATTTATATACGTATGTGTGTTTGTATGTATAAATATATTTGTATTAATTTGTCTGCTCAATTTCGTTTTCACCGATCGCTTGGACTGTTGCGCGCCAGCACCGAACTGAAACTGAAATTAACAATAATTTTTTATTCCATATTGAGTTCAGTTGTTGACGCGAACAAAACAGGCGAGTAGAGCGCGTCCAAGAAATACAAGCACAGGCACACACTCGCATATACATACATATGAAAGTAGTACTATATAGCAAGTTGAATAAAGCAAACAACTGAATAAAAACAGAACAAAACATAGAGAAAATACAGCACACAATAAAAAATAGCGAAAACACAACAAAATATATGTATATTCTTTTCAAGTGCACAGATACACAGAGGCGCAGCTGGGAGCTGGGAGCTGGGAGCTGCGAGCTGAAGCTGTTGCTGTAAAATACGTGGGCGGGCGAGTGGGGCTGGGCCACTTGTCCGCGAAGCGACTGTATAATTAATCAATTGATTTACCAATTGCTGTGCCGGCCAAATATCGTTTTTAGCAAGTTTTCTATCACCTCTGAACAACACGCGGCTCGAATAGGCTTTAAAAACTTTGCGCTGAGCTAAGGCAAATGCCGGTCGAGGCACCTGCTCCCCTCCCTCTCACCGGCTCACTTGATCGCGCCGGCAGTGTAAACAAAAATAAAAAAGCATGTTGTTGCTGCTGCTGTAGCCGGCACATTGTTAACAATAAGTTTGGCGGGTCGAAGCTAAAAGCTTGTCCGCAATGCTCTAAGCTTAAAGCTTTAAGCTCAAAGCACAACACACTGGAGGATCGCAAGAGTGATGCAGCTGTCGATTGGAGCAGCTTAATTTGTTTACACTTGTTGAGAATTTAAATTGTAAATTAAATTATGTGCATAGTGGAGTAAGTAAATAATAAGTTTTATATCATATAAGTTTGGTTAAGCCTATAATTAAAAATATGTTTATATATAATTATATATGTATGTACATATATTTTTCTCTTATACTGTATATCTGATGAATGCAAATATCACAATTCGCAGCTAGTTCACTATTCATAGGATAAAATACAGAAGAATCTGTTCATAACGAGTCCGCTTATGGCGTCCGTACGGTTCTCGCGACGTCGTTATAACCAGATTCTGCTGTGTATTGGTATTATATTATATGTATATCATTTTCCCAATTTGGAATTAGTTCACTTAGTCATCAATATAAGTATAAGAATTTAGATACCACAATTTCAAATTAGTCAGCAAAGTAAAGAAAAAAACTTTTTTCATAATCGACTCATGGAACTCATGCTATTGATTCTAATAAATAAAAAAAAAAAAATCACCTTTATTACATTGAATATATATGATTTGAATTTAGATACCATAATTTGAAACTAATTCTTTAGAAGAGTTGTCAACCACCATAAAGCAAGCGCTTGTCATTGTCGTACAGCTTATTCCACACTTGAAGGCCTTCCTCCTCGAACAGCCGGTCAAAGGTTAAGTCGTAACTGATGTTCATGGCATGGCAGGAGGTCTTTTTAGTCACGGGCTTCCACTCTTCTGGCTTAGTTTCGGCACAGTTGGGATTTCCGGTTTTCGCAAATGCCGTTAAAATGCCCACCATTCGATTAATAGTGAGGCATTCCGGCGCATTCAGTTGATTACTGAACTTAAGCTCCCTAGGAAAGATGTAGCCCAGCTCGTCGGCATGGCAGACACCGCGCCTAATGTCGACTCCGCACAAATTGATTCTCATCAAGTTATGTTGGCTCGAGTCGAAATCGAATCTATAAAGATAGGTGGGAGCCTCGGCAAAAGCCAGCCGCGAGAGTACGACCCGATGTATTCCATGCCAGAAGAGCTTATAGCTGAATAGCTGGAAGCAGGAAAGCCAACTTGATTTAAGCCCAACGAGCGTCTGCATTTATTTTACTCACATCCAAAAGTTGCACAATATTGTTGGTATTGATTTGTCTAGGCCCAAAATGAAAGCGTACCAGCTGCGCAGCTCGCTCAGTCAGTTCGCGTACCGAAAGCGTCCGGTACAGATCGTAAGGAAGCACGAGGGTGGGCTCTTCCTTAAGTAGATTTAGAATATGACCATTGTTGAGCTTGCTGTACGGATACATGATCAGACCTTCGAAGGAGGTGCCCCCCAGCAGCAAGGGTACGTTCTTGGCCCATGCGTCCCGCATCATTTGCAGAAAAGGCCGCTTGAGCAACCCTTCGCTACCGTCGTGATGCTCCAATGTAGGCACGAACGGATACAGGTGCCCGAATATAAGTTCCTTTGAACCAAATAGCTTATTATGCACCAGATCCTCAGCGGGCAGCGAGCGAAGGAACTCCAAGACGGACTCCTCTGACATTTCACCTCTGTAGCCCTTTTCAAGCGCCAGGCGACAGGACAATGTATTCGTATTCGGCACATGCACCCAGGGACAGGTCATACTGCCAGACATCATAATGGCCCGGTGGAACAGACCACAAGCCTCCGGCAGACACATCATAAAGTGCACCGAGGCAGCTCCCGCACTCGTGCCCATTATGGTGATATTTTCGGGGTCCCCGTTGAAGTGCGAGATGTACTGCTTGACCCAGCGCAGTGCCAAGATCGTGTCGTGCAAGCCCGCATTACCAGGTACGCCCAGCTTCGCGTTGGACATGCTGAGGAAGCCCAGCACACACAGCCGATAGCTGAACTGCACATAAACGATGTCCTCGCGCATCAAATAGTCCGGCCCATATTTGGTTCTGGTAGCACCGCCTGTCTTGAAGCCGCCCCCGTGTATATAAACCAGCACGGGAAGCGGCTTACACGAATCAAACTTTAAGTATAATAAGCATAAGCAAGCATACTGATATTTCGATTCCACACACTCACATTCTTAGTGAAGACGTTCAAGTATAGGCAATCCTCAGAGCCTATCGTGGCCACCGTAGCCGGATCCCTATCTTCCTCCTGAACTGGTACAGCATGCTCCTTCAGGCAATCAAAAACCTTGCCAGTCCAAGGCTCGGCCGGCTGAGGTAGGCAAAACCGGAGCTTACCAATAGGCGGCTTGGCATATGGTATGCCCTCAAAGCTATAGAAACCATGTCCGGTGATGCCAATCTGATGCTTGCCCTTAACCTTGCCCACTGGCAGCTCGACAATTTTCGTCTCGACATTAGCTTTCTGAGAGAAGTTTGACTTTCTGGCTCCCAACAGAGGTCTAAGTTTTCTCAGCCTTCCAAATTTCAACATATCCTGGCCGTGAACTAAGCATACTAAAGCAAAGCCCACATGGATGCATTACCTCTTACAGAGGCGAGACCAATCTTGATTTAAACATCAAAATTTCTGGAATGTTTCTATAAATGCTAAAAAATTTTTAATGTCTGTGCCTGCTGAGGTAAAAATTATTTTTAGATTTTCTTAAAATAGTCTTCTTTGAAAGAGACTATTTGGCTTAAATTACATATGTAAAAGAGAACCATTCTTGGCATGTTCTTAATAAAGGAATTACTACCACTACTATTAATTTCTTAGTTCTCTTGTAACCTCTGTTGAAATTTAAAAAAAAGTGAATCCCGACTTCAGCTTAGCTCAACTAAGGTACCGCACACTGAGCCCTTAACAGATCTATTATAGAACTTTTAGTAAATTAAGTTCTATTTATATTTATAAGCTTTCCAAATTACTGTTATTAATTCCAAAGAGCTGTATAACTTAAGCAATGTGTTTATTGCACTTATAGAGCAACTGCGTAGATTGAGTCGAACAGTATAATTGTGCTAGACCTATTGCACACGGAACGCCAAGCTTCTTACACCTTGCCTAGAACCATCATCATAGTATAGTTACGATCAAATTTTAATATGAGCGAGAGGAATGTTGTTTTAGTAATTTGTTCAGATGATCATAAGACCTGATCGCATCAACAGTCACAACAAACAGCAAGCAGTTGTGCCCGATCATGCCAACCGATCTCATCCAATAATCGAGCATCGAGTATACGATATTCAAAGCCGATTGGATTACAGGGTAAAGTATAGCTGGCTTATTGCTGTCCTTACAAATGGAAAGTAAAACTGGAATCGGTCGATAGACGAAACTAGTTTTTAAATTATAAATAAACTCATTTTTAAACAATAATAAATTATATGTAATTAAAGATGCTGAGTTCAAATAGCCTTTAGATATGTTAAACGTTCAACACACAACAATGTATTGAATGTATAAGTCGCAATCGCTTTTCTCGTTCTCTTTATTTAAATATCAAAATAACGGAATACACCAAGCTTTCAGCCTCTGTTAAAGCACTTCCCTTAAATTTTTGCTACTTATTCCATTTTTATAAGCTCTTGAATAAAATGCTTGAACTTTTATGATTATTAGAAGACTTTTTATGATATAAGAACTGAAACTTAACAGCTCTGTTAACAAGCGACACCAGTGCAAAGTCTGGCAGCGCCAAAACATTTACAGCCAACCGTTACGGCTGTTAGACTTCAAAAAGGCTGTTCAAGTCTCAAGCTGAACTTCAACAAGAATAAAGTTGATTCAATGCACTCAGCTGTGTAAGTTATGTATGAATCAACGCAATATTGGATGATGTCAAATGTGATCTTTCAGCCGGGGTGAGTATAAAAGTCCACAGCATTGTCGAATGGGTTCCGGCGGTTCGCGCATTACGCGCTAATAACACGAACAGCTGTCTACAATGTTTGTAGCTGCAGTTGAGCTCTCTGTGCGGCCACGGCCCGGTACAACGGGCATTATCAATACAGTTTTCATGCTCTCATTGCCATATGTTTTTCAATAAGAGCAACAGCAACGACAACAGCAACAATGTAATCGTCTATAGAGATAAGCGCTCGCTTTTGTCGTTCGTGATTAAAACATCAACAGAGCTCGGAACGATTCGTAGATTGTAATAACTACGTACAGTGGCTACTGAGAAAGACAAATAGAAAAGTAAAGAGCATTTTATACATATTATTATATTACTCTTCTTACATCAGCCTAATATAGTTTATTGAAGACTATTATGAATTTATAATTGAGTAATTTGTTTCCCCTCTCAATACAAACTCAGCATAAAATAGACATCCATTATAGAGAGCAACCTTTGTGAATTATTTCTCAAATCGCTCACTTAGTTAGTGTTTACTGTACATCAGAGTTGGGTGCGCATACGAGCAATAGTAGATTGCTCTATTCTAGTAGAACGTTCAGTTGCAGCTCGTCAATTGGCAGGGACGGAAGTGGTAGCGCCGATAGTACTTAAAGCGGCACACAAGGAGGAAGAGTATCCCATCCACGATGAATATACAAATGAGTGTTGTGGAGCTGCTCAAGCTGGGTGCCAAGTAGGTGACATAAGTCTTTGCATTTAATCGCTGTCAATCGAGCCGTAAATGCCACGATCTGGCAAATATTGTGTGATAAGATAAGAGCAAATCATTAGAGTAAATTCCGACTGTTCTACACTAATCTAATTGCAGGCTCATCGGCCACAAAATCGAGCAGTACAATCTAGCCACAAAGGTCACAGTGGTGGTAAATACCCAGCATGGTCAGGTTCGAGGACTTCAGCGTAAGACCCTCTATGATCACTTACTCTATTTCGCCTTCGAGGGAATACCGTTCGCCAAGCCTCCGCTGGGCGAGCTGCGTTTCCGCGCACCTCAATCTCCAGATCCATGGACTGGCATCAGGGACTGTACGTTCACGCGTGCCAAGCCGGTGCAGCAAAACTTTGTGATGCATGTGCTGGAGGGCTCCGAGGATTGTCTCTACTTGAATGTTTACACGAAGACGCTTAAGTCGGACAGACCGCTGCCTGTCATGGTTTGGATCTTTGCTGGGGGCTTTCAGATTGGCGAAGCCGACAGAGACACGCACAGTCCGGATTATTTTATGCAAAAAGACGTCGTCCTAGTCACCATCAGCTATAGACTGGGAGTTCTAGGTGAGTGGAGTGTTGAAAGTTAGATGATTATGGCGAGGTCAGTGATAGTGAAACTTATTTTAGGCAAAGAAGCGTAACAGCCTCTCAATCTTATTAAGTTTTTAATTGAAGCATCCGTATGTTCTATACAAATTTGTATACTATAAAAAAAATACATTGTTATTGCGTGCTAGGTATCTGATTAGTAATATAGAGCAGTTTTCGAGTTTGAACTGAAACCATTTCATTTATGTACGTACATACGAACAGATTTGTTTGGCTTTGCTGCTAAAAATATTAACATCTAATGTAATGTAAAGCAAGCTGCTGTTAAGTTAATAGAATAGTTAACATAACCATTCCGAACATTGCCCGGTGCTCTGACAATAAATGTGTGTATGTATTTGTCACAGTATTTAAGAATTCAGAGAAAGAGAGATAGAGGGATTTAGAAAGAGATAGAGAGAGATAGCTAGGATGCGAGAGAGACTAGAACAGAGCGAGAAAGGTAGCGATAGCTTTAAAGATATAGTTCAAAAGAAAAGAAGAAGCTTCAAAGAGATACAAAACAAAGATAGAGCGAGACAGAAAGCGTATCAGAAAATCTAAATAAATAATAAATAAAAGAAAAAGAAAAATGTCACTTAAACCAAGAGTTTAGGAAGACTATAAAAATTTTGTTTTTCATTTGATTCCACAGGTTTTCTCAGTCTCACTGATCGAGATTTGGATGTGCCCGGCAATGCTGGACTCAAGGATCAGGTAATGGCTCTTCGATGGGTATACAATAACATCGCCAACTTCAACGGCGATCCGTCCAACATAACTCTGATGGGCCTAAGCGCAGGCGGTGCTTCCACTCACATAATGATGACAACGGAACAGACACGCGGTCTGTTCCATAAGGCGATCATCATGTCGGGCTCGTCGCTGTGCGACTGGGCCAACTCGCCCAACCACCAGTGGCCCTATCGGCTGGCCTGTCACCTGGGCTATAACGGCACCGACAACGAGAAGCAAGTGTTTCGCTTTCTGCAACGCGCCTCGGCTAAGGAACTGATCGGCTGCTCAGCGCTGCCGAGTCAAGAAGAGGCACGTGATTACATACTGTTCCCCTTTGGACCTGTCGTCGAGCCGTACGTGAGCCCCAGCTGTGTAATCGCACAGCCGCCAGTAGAGGCGCTCGCCGGGGCATGGGGCAATAGAATACCTCTGATGATTGGCGGCACCTCGTTCGAGGGCTTATTCTCATACCAGTTCATAATGCGGGACACGGCGCAAATGCTGAGTGCCTTCGAGGCCATAATACCCAGGGAGGTGCGCGAAGTGTCCACGCAAGCGGAGCTGAAAGAGCACATCAGACGCCTGAAGGTGAAGTTTTTCGAGGATGCCACTCGCGGCCGCATGGAGTTCAAGGAGTGCCTGCAATTGCTTTCCTTTAAGCACTTTTGGCACGGCATTCATCGCACAGTGCTCGCTCGCATTGCCCATGCCAAAGACGCACCCACCTACCTCTATCGCTTCGATTTCGACTCGCCCACATTTAATCACTTTCGGATTATGAATTGCGGGCGCCATGAACGGGGCGTCAGCCATGCTGATGATCACTTCTACCTCTTCTACTCCATCCCAGCCAGCAAACTGGACAAGTCCTCAGAGGAGTACCGCACAATAGAGCGTATGATTGGCATGTGGACGGCGTTCGCGGCCAACGATAGTCCTCAGTGTCCTCAGTTGGGATCTGTCCAGTGGGATCCCGTCGACTGCAGTTGCGCTCTCAAGTGCCTCAACATTAGCCGACAATTGCAGTTCATCAAATTGCCAGAGAGCAAGCACCTGAGACTCTGGGATAGCTTCTATGAGAAGCTGCAATTGTACTAGCTAATCGACACCAAATCAAGAACGTAATATATTGTTCAAAATGATAAGGATTGTGAGAAAATTGACTAAATAAATAAGTGCTAGAGATCTGATAATTTTATACTCTCTTCGAGTAGGAAAGATATACCCAGGCATTATCCAAAGTTAAACTGATAAAAGAAAAAAGATTTTTTATTCAGTATTCTTAAGTTCATTGTATAGTTTTACATTTACTTTATTTTATAATATTCCATTTGCACAATGCAAATAAATTTGTCTCGAGATTAAGGGAAGCTTGCCATCTCGGGTTTCGTATACTTGAAGCGTCAGTTCTCGGTATAAGTAATTTATAATTTATATTTTATATTTTTGATTATATATATTAAATAATTTTTCTTAAAAAACAAAGCCCCTGGCTATCAATGAGTCTTTCTTCCAGATTGACACAAGGAATATACACAGTCCAGATAAATTATTAAATTACAAGCTTGAAGCTTGAGACTTTGAGAAAATATAACGAATTATAATAAATATCAGGGAACACCTTCCAGCTTTCTGCTTAGGACTGCTTAACTTCACAGATATTTGTTTAATTTGTTTGTGAAATTTGATTTCTAATAGAAATTGACATGGTATTACGGAAGAATAAGGTAGATGTAATATGTGTCATCTAAAATCGGGATCCTAGATCTTTAAATTACAAAATCTTCGTATTCATCAAATGTAAATACACAGTCTGAAGCCTCCAGACCTAAAAGTGTTCAAATTAAGCTGGAAAAACGAAATCAATTTATCAATGAATTTCGATAAAAATATATCGGATGAGTTATTGTAAAAAATAAGATCCACTTTTACTGCGTATGGTGTACACGGGCATACATGCCAAATTTCAGCTCGCTCGCTCTTATATCTGAGATATCAGCTCGTTGTCCTGATCAAGAATATATATACTTTATGGGGTCTGCGATGATTCCTTACCTTGCCTATTACATTCTTGCCACAAAACCATTATACCCAGATTTCCCGTTTTCAGTGGGTTCAGGGTATAAAAATTTATATGCATATCAATATCATCAATAAGTATAATGGTCTGAAAAAAAACTGAATTACAATTGGCCGATTGACCAACCTCAAGAGGTACAAGAAAACGTTTTTTAATGAGCTGAATTGAACTCGTGGGACTTTAGCTACGACAGAGCTTACGACATTATGTAAATTTCTAAGTTCTGTTAAAATATTTAAAATTGTTAGACATACTAGAACACAAGCTTGGTATTGCATTACAGTTTATTTAAGAGCCCCTTTTTCAAGATATTTTTTAGTTCCTTCATCCCTGTGGATAAACCTAATATAATTGTTCCTTCTTATAGAGACTATCCCAGACGAGCAGCTTGTCGTACTCGGGCAGATCGATGAGCTCCACCTCGTTGCCAATGTTGAGCACCCGCTGCGGTGCCTCCTGCTTCGCGGGCTGCCAATCGAGATGCGCAGTCTCAGCGCAGTTGGGATTGGAAGTAGCTGCAAAGGATGTCCAAATGTCGATCATCCGTTGGATGGTGCGATATTCAGCGGAGGCCTTGTCCAGCTTCCACGACTCCGCGTTCCGGAACAAATAGCCCAGCTCATCGGCATGGGAAACACCCTGCTTGATGTCATCGCCACAGAACTTCTTACGGTAGAAATTGAAATCAGGCGAATCAAAATCAAAGCGATAGAAATAGGTGGGAGCCGTGGCGTACGCCAGGCGAGCTTGCAAAGTGCGGTGGAAGCCGTGCCAGAAGAGTCTATAGGAATAGTACTGAAAGTAGGAAGAAAGAAAGGCAACAATTAGAGGTCAGTTCTGGAAATAAAGCCAATAAGGGGTACGAACTCACGTCCATGAAGTTCATGATGAGCGCGGAGCTGGGCGTCGCGTCACCAAAGTACAATTTCATCAACTTCTTGCTAAACTCCAGATTCTTTTGCTCCGTATTCTCCGCACGCACCTCGTGAGGCGTCAGTCGCAACGGATCGTGCGGCAAGTTATCCATGGCCTTGCGGTTGACCAACAGGGTCGGATACATGAAGAGACCTTCGAAAGATACGCCGCCCAGCATGACAGGCAGCTCATTGCTCCACGCCTCCCTCGCCATCTCCAGCTGCGGCTTGGGTGCCACACAGTCCGCCATCACATACGGCTCTACGGTGGGCCCAAAGGCATATAAGAAGCCATTGCGTCGATCCTCGAGGTCGAGCAGACTGTGGTCGACCAGCTTTTCCGCCGGCACCCTACGCAAGTGCTCCAGTACCTTGCGATCGTTGTTACCGCCCTGATAGCCATACAGCTTGGCCAGACGATAGGCGAAGTCCTTGGGCGGGGTATTGGACCAGTAGTTGTGCAAGGTGCCCGACATGGGAATGGCCTTGTGGAAGAGCCCACGCGTCTGCTCCGTGCACATCATGTAGTGCGTGGAGCAGCCGCCGGCGCTTTCTCCAAAGACCGTTATGTTGTTCACATCACCATTGAAGTAGGAAATGTATTTATTGACCCATTTGATGGCCAGAACCTGATCCTTGAGTCCAGCATTGCCGGGCACCTCCAAGCTGGGGTCCTTCAGACTAAGGAAACCTAAAGGAGCGAGAGAGAATGTGTGAGTGCGAAAGCATAACTAGGAGTATAAGAGAAAAAGCTTTTTCCCAAAAATAACTTAAATCTCGCACGAACTTTATACCCACATCGATAAGAGAAACTGGTTGAACAACTGATTGCAAAGATAGTCAAACGATAAGCTTGCAATCACTTACCTAGGCAATCAACGCGATAGTTGAGCGTGACTAGAATAACATCTTTGGCCATAAAATAATCGGGCGCGTAGAGGTTCCGTGTGGCCTCGCCTATGGAGAAGGCCCCTCCGTAAATGTAGACCATAACAGGCAAAGGTTTGGCGCTCTTCAGCTGTTATCGGTAAGAAATTTGACCATTTGAACGATCCATCAAAGTGATATATTAATTTCCAGCAAGTCACCTGCTTGGCGTACACATTCAGATAGAGACAGTCCTCGCTGCCCTCGATGATGCCCGTCAGCAAGCCCTTCTGCACGGGCTTATCGGCAAAGTGGGTGCAGTCCAGCACGCCCGACCAGGGCTCGGCGGGCACAGGTGCCTTAAAGCGCAGCTCGCCCACTGGCGGCTTGGCGAAGGGCAAGCGCTCGAAGCTGTAGTATTCATCATCGTAAAAGCTGCGACGCTTGACGCCTCGGACATGGCCTATGGGCAACGTTATTTCACAGGTTTCCAGACTATACAAAATTACAATTTCATTAACTCACGAGTATAAAACTTTTACATATTCATTCATATTATAAGAGAAACAAACACCTTGCCGACATAATGTCCAATCGTCCGCTCGCGTCCAATGCAGCTTGATAACTGACGAGCGAGTATAGCAAACAGAAGCGGGAAAGCTTAACAAACAAACACTGGTGGCCATAATAACAGGCACGCAGATCGCTTCAGCTGTTGACATCACAGCAACAACGCTGCTGAAATGTGCATTGCAAATTTGTTGCCTACGTTATCATACATTTATTTCATCTTTTAGTGTATTTTTATTGTGAAACTCAAGTCTAAATACTCTTTCTTAGATAAACCTACTGCAATTAGGGCTTATCTATTTGAATAAACAGTTATTAGCAACTGTTGCTACATTGTATTTTTGTAATTATGTATTTTATTATATTTTTATTTTCATTTTTTATTTTTTTACTGTGTTTTATTTCCCTAAAACATTTTTTTTTAGAATCATATAAAGCCTAAGCTACAAATTGTTCAAACAGAGAAGTTAGCTGTGGCTTTTAATCTGAGATATTTAAGGACTTTCTGTTTTATTTTTTAGCGCTAAGTTCTGCGTTTTTTTTATACGTATACGTATATTATGTAATTATTTTACTTACTATAGTTGTATATGCCTCTTTAACTTGCCAATCAATAGTAGGTTAAAATGTTTTACTTAAAGGTGAAAAAAAAAATCAAAAACACGAATGTTATATTTTGTACATACATATATGTACATGTTTAATATAATGTATACATTTTTATGTGAGTAATACTTTTACATTATTATGCATACATATCTATATGTATACATTTTTATCATCCGGACTTTTGAATATCTTTGGAATTCATTAAATGAGCTCCATTTTAATGTGTCTGTAAAGTTGATCATAAAACCGTAACTTCAGACGCTCAGGCTGAGGTATGAACTTCAGCTCCTCATTGATATTGAGGCACATTGTGGGTTCTTCTTTTGTTACGGGCTGCCAGTCGACCAGCGACTTGGTGAGCGGTCCATTTGGATTGGAGTTGCGGGCAAACTCCGTTAACAGGGCTACGAAGCGGCAGATGGCCGTGTACTCCGGCCGAGACTTCTCCAGCTTAAATGTTTGGGGCAACTTGAAGAGGTAGCACAGCTCATCAGCATGCTGAACGCCACGAGCTTCCGGTCCTTGGTAACGAATCCGATAGAAGTTAAAATCAGGAGAGTCAAAGTCGAACCGATAGAGATAGTTGACAGCCTGGCTGTAAGCCTGTCGAGCCCGGAGCATGCGCTGCTGATAGTGCAACAGGTTGTGTGTGAAAAGCTCGGCTATCGCTGGGTGATGCTCCTCAGTGATAAACGTGCTATGGGTACCACAGAATTTCTTCACAAGGTTCTGTCCCTCGTGCCGGCACGCGCTTGGCTCGCAGTGCCTGAGTAGGGAATACGGCAGTGTGAACTCCGGACGCTGCTGGCACGCTTTCAATAGGTTCGGATCCTTTCGCATGTTCATCAAAGGATTGAACAGGCCCTCGTTGCTGGTGCAGCCCATCATGAGGGGCAAGCGGTTGGTCCACGCAGTGCGCTGCAGTATGCGCGGCTGGTCCAGTAGCACAGCAGTGGGCGTGGGATAGTACTCAATACGTGGCAAAAATAATGGATAACCTCCGCTCTGCAAGCGCTCGTATAGAGGCCGAAAGTCCGGTAGGACCAATTTCTTGGGATCTGCGGCATTTATGAAATTGAATACATCAACATCGTTGTTCTCGCCCTCATAGCCCAAATGCTTGGCCATGTCATATTCCGCATTGGGCGCATTAGCTGTCTCGGGGTAAAAGCCGCCCATCATGATAGCCTTGTCGAATAATCCCTCCGTCTGGGGAGTTACCATCAGCAGATGCACCGCGCAACTGCCCGAGCTGTGCCCGAAGAGCGTTATGTTGTTCGCATCCCCATTGAAGCTACTCACGTTTGCCTTGATCCACTTCAGGGCTAGAATAATATCCTTTAGTCCTGCATTACCGGGTATGCGCAGAGACGGATCAGCGAAGCTCAAAAAACCTGAGCAGATTTATCATTAGGTTTGCATTAGACATATTTTTTATATACCAACCTAATGGACCCACGCGATAGCAGATGCTTATGTAGATCACCTGCTCGCGCATGATATAATCTGGTCCAAACCCGAACTTGGTCGGATCTCCGTTCTTAAAAGCGCCTCCATGCACATATACCATCACAGGCAAAGGCTTCTCGCTGGTTAACTGTGAATAATTTATAATGAGACGAATTCCTTCGATCCGTGAAGAGCGGACTCACACTTTTGACGGCTATATTGAGGTACAGGCAATCCTCGCTACCCTCAACTTGCTGGGTCAGACTGCTCACTTGCAGGCACTTGCTTCTTGGCTTGGAGCAGTCGAGTATTCCCTCCCAGGGCTTAGCATCTTGCGGCTCTCTAAATCGCAGCTCACCAAAGGGCGGCTGGGCGTACGGTATGCCATCGAAGCTGTAGTAGAGCTCACCGTAGAGCGCGGTCTGTAGCGCTCCACGCACCTGACCATGAATGGTTTTCACCACAGGCGAAGCTTCAGTGCTGCAAAGAATTCTATTTTATTTGTCTTGCAATTTCTCTTATATCCAACCGCAACTTACTAATCCGAACCCATTTCGCTTTTGAAGCCAACTGAATGCAGAGAGCCAAAGCTTCGAGCTTATAAGGGCGCACGATATGGTGAAATAAGCAAAGTGGTGAAATTTCACATGACACACCGCCAGTGCTTCGATCGGGCGAGCTTTTTCTTGACTTGGCAAAATCATTCTCTTAACTGTGTCTGCATGACACCAACTTTTCATAAATTCACTTTATATAGCTCTGTGAACGTAGACTAAACTTATCTCACAATTAAGATAATATTATTTTCAAAACCTAATGAGCATATTTTGTAAATCAGAAAAACAAATAGTAATCTTTCTTTTTATTATAAATTTTTTTTTTAGATAAGAACACAAATTCACTGTGGTATACACAAATGTATGAGCACCTAAGATATGTAAACCAAAAGCACATACAAAGTTGTTAGAGTCCCTATGAGCTCTAAATTAGTATTAAAGTAAATCCTTGAGCATAAACAGTCATTAGGTGTGCTGATTATTTTATTTGTTTTCCAATTATATCTTATCTTACCTTACGAAAGCTTCAACTTTCATTAAATCAGTTCCATTTCGGCACTCAAGACTAACTGCTCGTAGAATTTCAATTTCCAAGACTCCGGCTGTGTGATAAACTTGAGTTCCTCATTTATGTTGAGGCACATTGTCGGCTCATCTTTAGTTACGGGCTGCCAGTCCACCAGCTGCTTGGTGAGCGGTCCATTTGGATTGGAGCTGCGAGCAAACTCCGTAAACAGAGCTACAAAACGGCAGATGATCGAGTACTCCGGTCGAGTCTTCTCTAGTTTGAATGCAGCAGGCAGCTTAAAAATATAGCCCAGTTCATCAGCGTGGACAGCGCCATGGCTATCCTTTCCGAGATAGCGCACCCGATAAAAATTAAAGTCAGGGGAATCAACGTCGAAGCGATAGAGGTAATTGGCAGCCTGGCTATATTTCAGTCGCGCCTTGAGCAATCGGTCCTGATAGTGCAGCATGTGGTGGGTGAAGAGATCAGCGATCGACTGGAAATGCCACTTGTTCACATACGTGACACTCACGCCACAGAACTTCTTGACCAGCATTCCGCCAAGGTGGCGAGCAAGGTCGGTGGCACAGCCATGCCGTATGTAGGTCGGCAACAGGAACTCTGGGTGATCCCTATGCAGCTTCAGCACTTCAGGATCCTTTTTAACAATAAACATGGCCTGGGACAGACCCTCGCTGCTGGTGCAGCCCATCATGAAGGGCAGACGATTGCCCCAAGCACTGCCCTGCAGAGCACGCGGCTGCTCGAGTACCACAGCACTGGGAGTGGCATAATACTCTACACGTGGTAAAAAGAGTATGGGACCCTGCATTCGCTCATATAGCGACCGATAATCTGACCGAATCAACAGCTCAGGATCCGTGGCATTTATGAACTTGAATACGTCAATATCGTTATTCTCGCCCTCATAGCCCAAATGCTTCGCCAACTTATACTCTACGTCGGGATCATTATGTATTTCGAGCTGATGCCCAGCCATCAGTATGGCCTTGTTGAATAGGCCTTCTGCCTGGGGACTCATCGTCAGCAAGTGCACTATAGCACTGCCCGAGCTGTGCCCGAAGAGCGTTATGTTGTTCGCATCCCCATTGAAGCTAGCCACGTTTGCCTTGATCCACTTCAGGGCTAGAATAATATCCTTTACCCCAGCATTGCCGGGTATGCGCAAAGACGGATCAGCGAAGCTTAAGAAGCCTGTGAAGATTTAACATTAGGTTTGCGTCAGATATGTGTTTTGTATACCAACCAAATGGACCCAGGCGATAGCCAATGCTTACATAAATCACCTGCTCGCGCATTAGATAGTCAGGTCCAAGGCTGCGCCGGGTTGGGTCTCCGGTCCTAAACATGCCTCCATGTACATAGACCATTACAGGTAAAGGCCTTTCGCTTCTTAACTGTTGACCATAAATCATAGTTGATTCCCTTTCCTATAGCTGATGGACTACTCACACTTTTCGCGGCTATATTCAGATACAGGCAATCCTCGCTGCCCTCAATTTGCTGTGAAATGCTTCCTACTTGGAAACACTTCTCCTTCGGAACAGTGCAGTCAAGAATGCCTTGCCAGGGCTTCGCATGCTGTGGCTCTCTGAAGCGTAGCTCACCCAGTGGTGGCTCAGCGTAGGGTATGCCATCGAAGCAGTAGTAGAGGTCATCGTAGAGCGTGGTCAACAGTGCTCCACGGACCTGGCCATGCGTGGTTTGCACCACAGGCGAAGATTCAGTGCTGCGGAGAACAAATGTGTCAATAATCGAAATGGAATCGAACCGAACTTAATACCTTTCCATTTCGAGTTCAACGTCAACTGACTACAAAGCATGTATGATTAGCTCCTAAATAAACTATTTAGTAGATTGAAATCCATAAATGAATTCGATTAGATAGTATTCTACTTATGTGATAAGAGAAGATAAGCTAATCAAAATTTTGAAATATTATAACAGTTTTACACCAACTGCATACCTGGTTTGAAGCATAACTTTACATATAAATAATACCTATCCTACGGAGCTCACAAGACTCTGACATTGACCTAAACTTGCACTAGACTAGCTAATCAATCTATTGATACACTTGATATATCTAGAAAAGTTCAATATACAGGTAATTTAATGACTGTCAATTTGGAAATCAGTGGAGAGTTATTTGGCCTTCGTCTTATAGACGGTATCCCACACCCGCAACTTGGCTATCTCCGGCAGCTCGATGATTCTCAAATGCTCTCCAATATTCAAGCATTTCATATTCTTTTGACTCAACGGCGCCCAGGTGGCTTTGGTTATGGCTTCCTCGACGCTCTTGCAATTCGGATCTGAGGTGCTGGCGAAGGTGGTCAAGATGTCGATCATGCGCTCGATAGTTTGGAACTCGGCCGTGTGCTTGTCCAGCTTCCAGGAGAAGTCACCGTACCAAATATACGAGTGATCATCAACGTGGGCCACGCCGCGCAGCTTGTCGCCGCAGTACTTCAGACGCTGATGATTGAAAGTGGCGGAGTCGAAGTCGAACCGATATAGATAGGTGGGCGCCGTGGCGCTTTCTACGCGCGACCTTATAGTGCGCATGATGGGATGCCAAAAGACCTTGTAGCTGGCGTACTGAAAGGATTATATTCACGTGAAAGCTTGGCTTGATATCGGTCTCCATCTATACTCACCTCACAATACGCCGCCACGGAGTCTGGTTGCAGCTCCAGCGGTTTATCCCGGAAGTGCGTGAACTGTATTCGCTTGCCCAGCGTGCGGGCCAGTGACAGTGGCAGCGAACGTTTCAGGTCCAGCGGCAGCAGATGCTCCGGCTGGTCCTTGAGGCTGGTGAGCAAATACGGCGACATATGCACACGGCCGTACATCAGCAAGCCCTCGAAGGAGGTGCCGCTCATCAGCACAGGTATCTTATTGCCCCAGGCATCGGCCAGCAGCTCGACGGGCGGCTTGCTTATCATGCAGTGTTCGGTGGCATAGGGCTCCACGACGGGCCCAAACTGGAAGACACAATCGTCCAAATTTTCTGCTTCGCTCAGGAGATACGGCTTCACCAGAGTATCGCCGGGCAGACCCTGCAGGAACTCCAAGACCTTGAAGTCCGACGCATTATCGATATTCTTCATGCCCAAATGCTCGGCGAGACGTCGCGCCAAATTGGGCACCGAGCATTGCGCCCAGGAGCACAGCACATTGCCCGACTGCATAATGGCCTTGTGGAAGAGGCCCTCGGCTTGCGGATTCAACATTAGATAGTGCACAGAGGCGGCGCCAGCGCTCTCGCCAAACGCCGTCACATTCTTGGCGTCCGCATTGAAGCAGAGCGCGCTCTCTGTGATCCACCTGAGCGCCATTAGCTGATCCTTTAGGCCCGCATTGCCTGGCGCACCCGCAGCGGGATCGTTGAGGCTGAGGAAGCCAAGTGGACCCACACGATACGAGACGGTGACCACGACCACATTTTTCATCATGAAATAGTCGGGACTGTGTAGGTCTGTGGTGGGGTCGCCCTTCTCGAAGCCACCGCCAAAGAAGAAAACAATCATCGGCAGCGGAGCCTCTGTCCTCATCTGTATGGAGATGAATGAACAATTAGCATTATTTCAACAACAGTATGAGATCACTCGAAACACTCACAGACTTCACATACACATTGAGGTACAGACAGTTCTCCACGCCCTCCAGCTTCTGCGTGTACTGATTGAACTGCAGCGGCTTCTCGCCCTTCTGCCGGCAGATGAGCGGCTGCTTCCACGGCACCACCGGCATCGGCGCCTTGAAGCGGAGCACCCCGAGCGGCGGACGCGCATACGGTATGCGCTCGAAGCTGACGTAATCATCGCCGTAGATGCTCGTACAGTGTTTGCCCACAACGGGCCCACTTTTGGTCTGTACAACGGTTTCGACTGGACTGCAAACGATGTTACAACGTCCGTTTACTGTTATTGTAATGGAACTGCGCCAACTACTCACCGCGACATGTTCTGCACCTTTGAGAGCTTACGTCTAGTCTGCCTGGGCGACGTGTTGGTGGTTTTGTTTGTATTTATGGGGCACCGTTTGCTTTTATCTAGATAAAAGCATTTATTCCGATTTAGTCTAAGGTCGCGACCGTCTGAGACACCTCATGAATTGGCTTAGCAGCAAGTGTAAGGCAGAGCGCCAGTAAAAGAAATTATCTGTAATATATACTTTTAAAATATTACACACAGCTGATTTTGAGTTAGCTGCTATGTTTGTTCTCGTTAAAATCTACATTAGAATACTGACAAATTGTCTGCGACTGTGATCGTAACGGTTGTTGTCGTTGCTTTTGTTGCTGTTATTTATCAGCAATGCACGCGACGCTCTTTTTAGTGTCTGCTTCGGCGATATGAGCGTCGCTCATACCAGGGCTGCACTGGCATTGTTTACAATCAACGCAAAAAGGCCAGCGTGAAATTTGTATAAATTATTTATCTAATATGTATTTTTAACATAAATTATTCTATTAAAAAATAAAGTTGACATTGCATGTTAAATGCATTATGATAGTATTTTATTTTGATTATTTCAGCCCACACTTTCTGTGCTACTGCAGCCCTGGGGAGAGAGAATTTTTGCTGATTCAAATAAACTTGAATGTCGACTACACTGTGAGATTACGACTGTGCTCAGTGGAGACAAGTACACCAATTTTATGACTCAACATGTTGTTATTGTTTATTGTTATATATCTTTATAAGAACGCTGAGCTTTGTTGTTCTTAAAGTTGATATTTTGATATGAGAGATACTTATATAATTTTTAACAACATCTCATATAGATAATTAGTAAAAAGATTTGTCGGTTGAAAAAAAAAAAAAAAAAAAAAAAAAAAAAAAAAAAAAAAAATAATGGGCTGATGTAAACTAAAATGTTTACACGCTTAAACCATGCTCATATCCAGTTTTGACTTTCATATAGGGTTATATCACTGACCAGACAGTGTACTCTTTCATATGTGACCATTTGTTTATATTATTTTATTTTTTATTTATTTTGTTTTTATTTATAATTCATGCTTTGTATATAGTATTATATATCAAAACAAGCCACAAGTTAGTGCTATCACTTAGTAAGCTAATGAAAAAAAAAAAACAATATATATGCTAAAGCTTTATTTAAGAAGCTAGAGTATTTTAGTTACCACAAAAGTTTAGCTTGAATATAAAACACACAAGTCTCCAACGCCAGTCGCTGTATTTGTATGTGTCATCACAGCATAAAGCTCGCGAGAATGCACAAAGCACTGCAAATGGATTAACAGCTGTTAAGATGCGAGCGCTGTTAATGATAAGGCGCCAATGTTAATCGCTCATGAGCCGAATCTATTTTTATTTCGCTGAAAGTAGGATTTTCTATTAGAAATGAGAGTCGGAGAGATAACTTTCGACCAGACGTTCAGAGTACGCTGTAGACATATGGGGGAAAAAAAGCATACGTACATATACATATGTATATATTCATAGGCAGATCGATGGCACTGCTCAATTTGCCGGCAACGGCGCGAAATCGTTTTAATTGCATTGCGACGGCCGACGGAATTGAAGCAAGCAGAGCAGACGATTCGAAGTCTATTGAATTTCGAAAATATCAACACAAAATATTCGAAACAGGCACACAGATACAGCTGCATACATACACACATACATACATATGTGCATGCATGCATAGATACGGACGCATACATACAGACATCGGGGAGCAATAGGAATGGATGTCCACATCGGGTTTCCCAAGCTGCTGCAGATGAGCGCCAAGTGAGTACAGAGAATCAGATTGTGCATATACAGGGTATTCGGCTGTCGGTGATCGGGCGACAATTCGCATTCAGCATGATTCCAGCACACAGATTGCGCTTAGTGAGCTTGAACGTTGGACCTGGACCACAGCGAGGCAGCAATCAGTAGCCCGACGTGTCGCATCGCATCCCATTCCACCTCTTTGACTCTGTTATCTACTGTGACCGTTTGTTATCTCTTTGCCCGCCACTCCCCATAGATTTGTCGGCCACAAGGTGCAGCAGTATCGCCTGTCCACCAGCCACACGGTCGTCGTGGCCACCAACTATGGCCGGGTGCGGGGCCTGCAGCGCAAGACCGTCTACGACCAGGAGCTGTACTATGCCTTTGAGGGCATACCCTATGCCAAGCCGCCGGTGGGTGAGCTGCGCTTTCGTGCACCCCAGCCGCCGGACCCGTGGAAGAGTGTGCGCAACTGCACCACGTACGCCGAAAAGCCGCTGCAGCGCAACATGGTGCTGGGCCTGATAGAGGGCTCCGAGGATTGTCTCTATCTGAATGTGTACGCAAAGAGTCTGCGATCGGAGAAGCCGCTGCCCGTCATGGTGTGGATCTATGGCGGTGGCTTTCAGAAGGGCGAGGCCTCCCGGGATATCTACAGTCCGGACTACTTTATGAAGCAGAACGTCGTGCTGGTCACCATAAGCTACAGGCTGGGCGCGCTGGGTAAGTGAGGATTGTGGACGAAGCCTATAAGAGGCAAGACTATTAACTCTATATTGACAGGTTTTCTGAGCTTGAAGGATCCGAAGCTGGATGTGCCGGGCAACGCTGGTCTGAAGGATCAGGTGCAGGCCCTGCGCTGGATCAGCCAGAACATTGCGCACTTCAACGGCGACCCGAACAACATAACACTCATGGGCGAGAGTGCGGGCGCCGCATCCACGCACATCATGATGACCACGGAGCAGTCGCGCGGCCTCTTCCACAAGGCCATCTTGCAGTCGGGCTGTGCGCTGTCCGCCTGGGCGGATACGCCGGATCGCAACTGGGCCTTGAGGCTGGCCCGCCAGATGGGCTACAAGGGCAGCGATGCGGAGGAGGATGTACTGCGATACCTGACCAAGGCATCGGCTCGGAAAATCGCCTCGCACGACCAGGAGGTTGTGACGCAGGATGAGCTGCGGAGCTTCTATCTGTACGCCTTTGGGCCCATAGTGGAGCCCTATGAGAGCGAGCACTGCGTGGTGCCCAAGCCGCACAAGGAGATGCTGGCCAGCGCCTGGGGCAATAGCTTGCCGCTGATTGTGGGCGGCAACTCGTTCGAGGGTCTCTTCTCGTACCAGCTGGTGCGCAACGATCCCTGGGTGATGAGGAACTTCCACAATATTATTCCGCGCGAGGTCAGCGAGTCGAGCACGCCGGAGCAGGTGGACCAGCTGGTGCGCAGGCTCAAGCAGCTCTACTTCGGCGACGAGCAACGGGAGTGCATGAAACTATTCGAAGCTCTCGACATATTCTCACATAGGCAAATCTGGCACGATCTGCATCGCATGGTAATGGCACGGCTCACCTATGCGCCGGCCACGCCCACCTACCTCTATCGCTTCGACTTCGACTCGCCGCACTTCAATCAGTTTCGCTGGCTCGTCTGCGGCGAGCGTGTGCGCGGCGTTTCCCATGGCGACGACCTCTCCTATCTGTTCTACAATGTGCTGGCTAGCAAGCTGAGCAAGTCCTCGCCGGAATATCTGACCATCCAGCGCATGGTGGGCATGTGGACAGCCTTTGCGGCCAACAGTGATCCCAACTGCTGGGCCACCGACTCCAACAAGTGGATGCCAGTGCAGCTGACGCCAGACCGAGCTCACAACTGCCTCAACATCGGCGCCGAGATGGAAATGATGGCTCTGCCCGAGGCCCAGGCTCTGGCCATATGGGACACATTCTACGACCAAGACGCTCTCTACTGAGCTATTCCAATGCTAGAAATTCCAATCTTATGTATAGAAATACCAAACCGACAGACGATAGTCTTCTAGACTATATCTCTGTATGTGTGTATGTATGTACTAATTCGCAAGTATAATGCGATAACCAAGTTGCTATTAAAGTCTGTCAAAATTCCATGTTAAAGTAATACAAATGTTAAATATGAAAAAGTTATATGTTAATTTAAGGAATAGAGATTACCAAAAAAACTTTTAAAACTAAAATACTTTTAATAAAGCTCATTTAAATATTACAGAATATGTTTCATAAAATTTAAAATGTTTAATATATATTTATCGAGTTCCAAAGGGGCAGCATTGGCAATTAATATGTAACAGTCCTAATGCATGATGCAATTTTTGATAGGGCTGCCTCACACGCTACGACTTTTCGACATTCACTGTGACGTGTGTGGACCGCAGTAAGCTCATTCTGATCGAAATTCGCTATAGTCGAATGCAACTCTGAAGTCGATTACCTTACACACTTCCGGGAACTGCTTAAATCTTTCTTTTCCGTTTGGAAGTCAAAGTGAGCAGATCGGCTTTTGGGAAAAAATGTGAAGAATAGTTAAATAAAGTGTATATTCAAAATAATAAACCATATTAAAGTTAAATTAAACTTTTAGCAGTGGAATGGAATAAACGAAATGCATGGATGGAATTATCCGAAAGGGTGAGTGCAGAATTTTAAATTTGTCCATTCAAGAACTTAACTGAATAGGAAGCAGCTTGAGTGTAAATAAATTCGATCACCCGCATTATTTACATTAATTGCTTTTGTTTAAAATCGTGTGTGGCGTCTGCCGAATGGCAATGTAAATATTTTTGCAGAAGTCGCGCTTGTGGGGCGTCTCACGTTTTCTTAGAAATGCGCGCAGACGCCGAAAAACAATTGTTTGTCTGTGTGTGTGAGTGGCTTGTGCTAGACAAATAAACTTTCTCGCATAATAAAAGGAAACCTAAGAAGCGTCGCACAGATTTTATTGTCTTTTCTACAGTTAATAGGTGACAGCATAAACAGACAAATCTGCAATTTAAATACAAAAAAAAATGTACGTATTTTATATTAATTTATTTAAGCTCAATCGTCATAGATGCTGATGTCTGTTAGTAAAGCAATTGAATTTCTTCCATATTTTTAATGGGTTTTTATTATTTGAATTATATTTGCCTTACTATTTTCTATAGTCTTCTGAAATTGTAAATGCAATTTACCAATTTTTTAGAATTTTTTTTGTTTTATGTATCATGAATATACTTGCACTCGCCGCAGCATTGCCAACATAAAATTTGAAGAGCTGGCAGGGCAATAAGAATATGTAGGAATGCAAGAGTAATAATAAAAATAATCATAAAGCGTATTTACGTTACCCAGTTTATATTCATCAGACAACGAGAAATCTGAAATATTTATATAAATAAAGTTATTGGATCTACACATAGTAAATATAAATAAAAAATTACTTTTATAATTTTTTTATTGATACGCATAATTGCTAGGAATTTCGATAGAATACCAAAGCCATTTATAAGTTTTTCATTGCACTCTCTTAATTCTTGCTTTATGTATCAAACGCAGCAACGCGAAAATTAAATGAAGAGCTGGCAATACATTGTAATTGAAATTATAATGCATGATATTGTAAAATTTAAACACACATGCCAATGTGCTTGTCATTGAGTGACGTCTTTTATTTATTTTTTTTTTTTATTCATTTATATATTCATATATTTATATTCTCTCCATTTTCGCATTTTTGTGGATGCACACACACCCATGCCAACTCACATATTCAATGTATTTTTAAGCCCTTCCAAGAAACACGCAGTCAAAAATATTTTAAAGTTAACGAATGCAAATGATATAATTTTAGTGTCAGCATTGCCAGCATCGAATAAATCAGGGCACACGTGTCACGGCAATGCCATTGGAAGGTTGTTCTCTTTCACTCTTAATTTGCGTGCAGTTCAACTTTTTGCACTTATCAATTATGGCTGTTTGTTGTCAACTTTTCAACTTTTACCTCACAAATTTACAACAACAACAACAACAACAGCAGCAAATCCCAATCAATGCAAAAAATGTGCATGCGTGTGAGCGCCAATAAAAGTTTGCAGAGCGCTGCCAACGAATGCCAAAAATGTGAGAGCAAAAATGTTAACAATGTCGATACAAATTGCTGAACTTTCCAACTGCCAAAATGAAAGCGAAATTTGAATTATGAAAATTGCAAACAAGTGAAATTTTGATGACCTATCAAGGAAATAATGTTTTTTTTTTTTTTGAATATTTTTTTTTTGCATATATTTTAGCTAAAAATGTTTGCAATCTGCGCTTTAAGCTTTGAGCTTCGGCTGTTAATTAAAAATTGTCATAAATCTTTATGGAGTTTAACCCATTTACAGTCGACTGGGCTGGTGAGAAATGGCAATGAGCATTTTGGGTTAATGCTTGCCAGAGTCCTTTTTTATTTGCTCTCCCACTCGCAAGGATTTTGCGTATTGCTCAAGTACTTAATTACACTTGCGCGCACTTTAATTTTCAGCTAAAAGAGCGAAAGAGTGCGATGTATAGAGAGAGAGAGGGCTAGGTCCTTATATAAAGAAATGTAAATTAGGCTGCCAAGTCAAAGTGAGCCGAAACCTTGTAAATTATAGGCTTAAGCTGCTGTCAGGACCAACTCCTCCCCATTTGGGTTACATGCTGCTCAGCTCAAGCCCTTCGTTTGAGCCGAGGCAGAGGCAGATACGGGAGCGGGAGCAGCCTCAAGAGCCTGTCTGCCCGAAAGGCTTATTAAATTATGCGCATATAACGACGGGCGGCCATCCTCCCTCCAGTCAAGCTTTGCAATCTAATCTCCCTCTAAGCCAGATGCCCCTCAAAATTTGACACTCGCTCGCAAGTAAATTGAATGTCGCTGGGGTTAAGCGAGAGTATTCCGAGTGGCCAATGCCTGATGTATGCAGCACTCATAACTGCCTTGCCATAAAATCAAAGTACAGAAAGTCCGAGCTCCAGATTGGGCATCAAAATACGACTGCAGTGCATAAAAATAATTTGGGTACGATTCAACTTTATGGTTTTCCTTTTGCTTTTTGCTTCCATTTTTATTGCAGCCTGGGGAATTTGCTCTATGAATCTGAGCTTTAGATTTTTTCTGTATATACATATTTGTATGTATATATTTTTTGCAAACTATTTGGCAGTTGAAATTGAAGACAAATTTCAATGCGTTCGCATTATGCGTATTTTGTTGTGGGTGCGTTCAAGTTTTCAGGGCTAGCAAAAAGGAAAAGAAGAGAATTGGACATTGATTTGTATGCCCAAGGGACGCGTCCCTTAGCAAATTCTATACAGCTTAAATGTGTAAAAATAGAAACGTTTTAGTTAAATTCGTTTAATGCCAAGCAAACGTTACAGCATGTCGAGACACTTAATAATTATTCAATTAAAATGTTTGTAGTATAAATACATTAGGCATATAATAATTTGAGTTTCTATTATCAGCTGGGACATCAGCGTATAGCCTCAAAGTTCTTTCTTTTATTTTCTCTAATCGAATTGAAACCCGTTCATAATTAAAGAGCGGAGGAAACCCCAAAACAATGCATCTACCCTGACAAAAAAGCCTATTAGGCGAGACCCAAGAAATTCAAACTTTATAACCAAATTTTTTTGTTTTCCATATTCTATGCTGGTTTACGAAGATGTGAAGGGTATATTCGTTTTGCGTAATGTGCATGTTGCTGTTAATACGCGTAACATATTCACAGTTATAAAATCTGAAATTACTATACCATATTATGATATATGTATGATGTATAATGGAATGGAATCATACATAATCTGCATTGTAGGATAAAAGATTATATATTTTATGATGTATGTATGATAAATGCCATAAGTTAAATAAAATATACTATTATCTTTGATTATAATATATGATACCTTATCAACGAATTTGAGTGTAAACCCCCTCTAACGAATGTTATAAATGATAAGCTCACGCTTTCACTACAAGTGAACCTATAACTTATAATGAAAAACCATTGTAAAAAAAAATTGGTATTTTCTTTAAATATTAAGCTGATTCTTAGTCGTGAACGGGTGCTTTGCAATCAGTCATTTGGGGCTGCAGTGTTCTCATTTTGTTTATTCTATGCTTTTGTCATATTTCCCAAAAACCAATTTGGTTAAAAGCAAATGAGTAATTATTAAACAGCTGAAGTCAAGTCCGGGGTCTGCAGAAAAAAAATAAAAATAAAAAAGGTAAGAAACCAAAAGTTTGCCAAGACAAAGGCAAAATGAAGCCGAAAGCAAAGTGAAACTTGAGCAGCATTTTAATAAAATTTACAATGGGCGAAGGAATATAAAAAATTACATAAATTAAGTTGAGGTAGGGGCGGGAGTTAGCCTTGCTGCTGGCCCGTCAATTGGCAAATAATGGACTCTTCTTATTATTAACTGAAATGCTTTTTGATCTGCCCAGGCAAATTACACGCTACAACGCGGCGTTGTACAACACTGCAAACGGACTTGATGCTATGCAGCGCTGGCCATGCAACACTCTTGGCTGCCTTTGGGGGCGAGGGGATTTAAATGTCGTCTGCGGCATTTGTAATTCACTTTGATTAAATATGCACACCACAGACAGAAAGAAGAGACACACAGACAGAGGGAGAGAGTGTGAGAGAGAGAGGTGGATGGGGAGTGGATTTTGTGGAGCAGCGCATTAAAATGCCGCAACAATGCGGCAGCAGGGACAACTGCAAGTGGCTGTCGCTGTGCCGTATCCTTAGACAAGTCAAATAGCGAGAGTTGGACAAGAAAGCGCAAAACAAGTTGGCGAATTTTCGGCAACTGCAGCGTGTCCTCTGACAGGATATAAAACAATCAGCGCAAGCTAGCGGAAACGGAAGTGTTGCTGCCAGCCACACCCCAGCGCCACCAATTGGGGGCGTAACGAATTGCAGCTGCTATTCGCTGCCAGTTCTCCTTGTGGCTGTTGTGAATTGTAGTCCAAATGCTGTCCCATTCTGCTCCTGGGAGATACCACAACACAGGACTCGCTCGCCTGCCGTCTGCCGTT